CGCATAGGACAGCCTGGCCCTATCCAGCCCTGGGGCTTCCAGCCCTACTCCAGCTCACTCAGCCAAGAAAGGGCTCATCAGAAACTAGAGATATTAGAAGGCAGAGAGCAGTAAAAATGATAACCAATGTTGTTTTGATCACCTTTATAAATTGCTGTTCCTGTGTGCAGCCTTACGGCTTCTCAAGGCCCATCACACACAGAAATGTCACAGACAACACTTCATGTCAGTATCACACAAACTGACCTGTCTTCCCTGTGAGCCTCTTCTCTAAGCAGGTCACCTGCAGAGGTGGGGCAGTGCAGACAGAGACTTTCCTTATGGGGCCCAGCATGCAGCCAGGACCCCCTACCACACTACCGTGTTCCAACAGCTGTGCCTGGGCCATGGGTCAGGCCAGTCCTGGGAGGGAGCCAGCCGTGGGCTGAGGCTGAAGTGTGCAGGTCCTGCATCTCTGTGTGGAAAAGCTGACCCCCAGGCTAAGACTCACCCTGTCAGGGACGGTGGGACTGCTTCTGCTTTGGGGAACACAGGGTGCAGAAATTTGCTGGTGGCCACCACCATGAGCCCACAATGTGGATGTGGCACAGGAGGACTCACTGCTCAGGGTGCAGGCATTTTGCTGCATGTATCCTCTGGCCTCAGCAGGGGTGGAAGAGAGAGTCCTTCACAGGGGCACAACCACCACTACAGCCCCAGGCTGTGGTCTGAGGCCTATTCTGAGCCCACCACCAGAATGGTGGCATGAGGATGAATGTGGTCCCTGCCTTCCTGGGGTGCATATCCCAAACAAGAAAACTAAGGAGCACCCCAGGTGAGGTCAGAACCAACGAGCTGCAGTGAGCACAGAGGGTGGGGCTGGGGGAGTGTCTGAGCGGGGCAGGGGGCGGGGGCAGGGAAGTGTAGCGGGGATTCTGGCGAGGAGAGACCGGATCCCACCGGTGTTTTGTACGGCTCCCTTGCCCACTCTGCACAGAGGAGGGAAAGGCCAGGAGCTGGAGGTCAGCAAGGGGGTGCTGCAGGTGTCCAGGCAAGTGGGGACGGAGCTTGCATCGGGAAGGGGACAGCTAGGAAGTGGTCCAAATAGAGATGTAGGCGGAGCTGCTGCTGACGTGGAGGGTGAGGGAGAGGAAGGAGGCATCGGGGAGCCTCTCAGGGGTTCATTCACGGAGATGGGTGGGGGCCAGGGAGGAATCAGGATTTCCGTTTGGGTCCCACTGAGTTTGGGTGGCACAGTGAGGAGGCAGCTGGAACTAGCAGACTGAAGACCCCTGAATCTGCATTCTGAGCCTCAGTTTCCTCATCTGCACTGGGCATGACTGTCCTGCTCCATCCTCTCAGGGGCTGCCTGTGAGGTCCAGGCAGATCACAGCTGTCCTGGGCTCATGGCCTTGACCTGGAGTCATCAGGCTCTCTCACTCCAGCATCCTCCTTGACTCCAGCCCCATTCCTCTTCCCCAGGATCCCCTTCCATCTGCTTCCGCCATATCCAGGCATCAGCAAGAAGCAGGTGCTGATGAGGGGCAGGACCACCTTGGCCAAGCCCACAGCAGGGGGTGGGCCAGCCCTGGAACCTCAGTGAATAGGGTGGCCAAGGGGCAGCCCAGGACCCTTCTCCCAGCCAAGGGGCTCCTGCATTTGCTGGGGGTGTTTCATGAGCTCAGGAAAGAGCAGAGAGGGCAGTGATTTCTCCCCACGTCTTCTCCCAGATCCGCTCATGCGCAGGCCTCGGTCCCGCTGAGACAGTCCCTGTGGGTCAGGGTGGATTTTCCTGATGCCTTGGAGCTGGTGACCACACAACCGTGACAGTGATGGGGTGTGTCACAGGTATGATCTGATGGGGGAGCTTCACCACACAGATGGGGAGACAGAGGCTCAGAGAGGAAATGACCAGGCAAAGGTCACAGGCTGCAGGTGAGCTCCCACACCAGAGCAGCTGCCCTGGGCTCTGTGTTCTGGGAGGGGTAGGGACGGGATTGTGCCCGGATGGGAATGTCATGCAGAGCCAGAGTGAGCAGACTTGGGGTATGGCACCAAGCCTCAGGACGCAGAGTAGGGGTTTGGCCAGCACCAGCCAGGGTCAGGCTGACTGTCTGCATTCCTCCTTCTTGCCTGCGGGCTCTGCAGGGCACCACCTACTCTCAACCCTCAAATCCTCCCTGCCTCTGCTCAGGGCTCTGTCGGGGGTCCTGATACCAAGGAAATCGAGATCTTCCCATGGCCTAAAGACCATGCCGTGGGTGGGGGCAGTGCTTGGAACCAGGGGCTTCAGTGTAGGGGGCACCAGGAAGATTTCCTCTCTCATTACCTGCACCTGCCCCTAGGAAACCACTCCACCTACACAGGCCCCACGGACCACGGCAAGCTCCGTCTTAATGCAGACACTGGCAGTTCCTGCATGGCAGGGTAGCAGCAGCACACCACACTCCTCGGCATACCACAGTCCTCGGCATACCACACTCCTTGGCGCACCACACTCCTCAACGTGCCACACTCCTTGGCTGCATTATCTTTGTGTGTAGAACCTCAGCAATAAAATGCACTTTCAACACTTTTCAGAGCCTTACGACTTACCACACACATACAGCCACTATGACATGAGAAAGAAGCAAAACGATGGGTCCCTTCTGGAAAGGGGGCCACTCCATGTGTGGCAGAGCTGTCTTGCTAGGGCCATAATCCATGTGCTATTTCTGATGAAGACTGAAGAAGCACCTATCTCATGCAAGAGCACTTCTAATTTCTACCTGTGACGTGCGGGCAGTGTCAGAGGGAGGCACGTTCATTCATTCAGACAACAAGCCTACTCTAGGTCAAGCCACAGGCTGGGGGTGGAGGAGCACAGAGGTCACTGCAGTGGGATGGGGGCTGGAAGGTCCTGGCTGGGCCTGACATGGGAGTCTGAGTCCAGGGCCAGCAGACACCATGCCCCTACTGACTGGAGCTGGACAAGGGCCAGAGCCAGGGGCCTCCGAAGAGGGTCTGCTCAGCCTGGGTGGGCGTGGGAGGCCCCAATCAGGTCCACTTCCTTCAGAACAAATGCCTCCCTTCTTTCCACCTGGCTTCAGCCCTAACCTGCTGCCAAGCACCCCTTCCTCTCTCCCTCCTTGACCACAGAGCCCTCACAGTTACTTCAGGCAAGGTGTCCTGGGCAACGCACCCTCAAGAATCCCATTTTCCTTCCTGCTAAGCAAACAGAAAGGTGAAGTGCACTGCAGGCACTGCGTCCACATCAGCAAATGTTTTTCAAATAATATCTTTGTTTCAGGAAAAAGCTCTGATGGAGATAAATGTTTTGTTAGCAGCCAGAAGGTTCATTTCTGACGAAACCCTTGTTTTCCTAGCAGATCTTCCCACGTTAGAGCTGTTTCCTCTAGTTGTTCTGGCAAGGGTAGATGTTTTCGGTGAGGCTGTTAAGTGGGTTAACCATTTTAATAATATTTTTCACCTGTGACTTTGGGCGGGAACGCTGAGCTTGGCCCAAATGCTTAAGGAGCCTTTTGAGTTCTGTTCGGATGGTGCCAATGTGAGTGTCCCATACCTAAAGTGGACAGGCCTCCTCCAGCCCGGGCCAACCCTGAGCGCCGTTCTGCCCTACCCACTTCGTACTTCCAGCAGTCAGTCCCGCTCCTCTGTCCAAATCCTGGTCCAGAGGGACTTTCAGGGGGTAGCATCGACAGCATGGCTGCTCCTCCCACCACGGTCAGGTCACCCAGTGCTGCCACTGAGGTGGGGAGGCCTTCCTGAGCAGGTGGGGGAAACACAGTGGGCACTGTGGATGGTGTTGGGAGTTGTGGGGTGGGAGGTGCCCTGGAGGGCATGTGGCGGAGGAGGCCCTGTGGATGGAGGCTGCGACGGATGATGATAGCCATGCAGAGGATGTGGATGGTGACGACGGGAAGCTGGGGACCATGGGGATGGTGGTGGAGGGAGTGCTGCTGCTGGTGGGGCTGAAGGAGGTGGTGCTGATGGTGGAGTTGGCAGCACAGGTGGTGTTACTCCGGGCAGCACAGATGGCAGAGGCGATGTGGCTGGCAGTGGGTAGAGACTGGAGGTGGGCGAGGGTGTGGGAGGGCTGATGGTGGAGGTGGCAGTGGTGATGGAGCCAGAGGGGACTCTACTAGAGGCTGGCCCAGCAGTTTTCTAGATATGATCTGGGGTGTTTCAGGAAACCACCAAGTTCCAGTGCACGGTGGCCTACTCAGGGCAAGTGCTCCATTAGGTTACCAGGTGCATTTCATTCCCTGGGCGGCCATAAGGGCTTGGCCTAGGGTCACACTCTGGGAGCCATGGAGACAGAACTGGCACTGGGCCTGTTCCTTCAGCTGAGCTGAGCCTGCTGTCATGAGTCCCTGGCCTCAGGAGTCCCACTGGGAGTCCTGTTTGGAGGGTCTGAGCCTGAGCGGCCAGACCCCAGACTGCGGAGAGGAGGGGAGAGAGGGGGCAAGTCTGTTGCTAGCCCGCTTAGGAGGGTCTGTGGAGAAGCAAGCCCTGCCCTACGTGCCTGAGCAAGGGGTCCAGTCTCCTGGCCCTGGACCGCACTGGCGTCCACGGGGGGCGGGGCTGAAATGGCCCAAGGAGGGGCTGCAACCTTCGCAGGCCAGGAGCCCCACTTGGGAAACTGAGGCCCGGGAAGCCCGTGCCCACGGCCACACTGCTATGTGTGAAAACCAGGGCAGTACCAGGGCCCCCTGCTCTCCCCTGGGGATCAGGCGCCGGGGAGACGCGCTCGGCAGGTCTGGCAGGGGCTGGGGCGCCGCGCTCCACTCGCCCCCGCCTCGGTGCCCGGCGGCTGCCGCCCTCGCCCCGCCCGCGCGCCTCTCCTGCGGGCCGCTGTCCGGCCTTGGCCGCCGAGGGAGGAAGCGCTGTCCTCATTCCACCTCGGGCCGCCCCGGTGCCAAGTGGCTGGCGGCGGCGGCGGGAGTCCGGGCCCGGCGGGCAGCGGCCGGGGCGCAGCGCCCTCCCCTCCCGGGCGCCCCGCGAGCCCGGGGGTTACTCACGTAGAGTCCGGAGTGCTCGGCGCCGAAGAACGGAAAGGGCACGGAGAGCGGCCGCAGCCCCGAGCCGCCGTCGTCCTGCTTGGGGGTGACGGCGTCGCCGCGCGCGGCGCCGAACGGGTAGAAGTCGGCAAGAGCCACCGCGCCGCGCACCCCGCGCGCCCCGAGCCCCAGGGCCGCGGCCACCAGCAGCGTCCAGGCGACGCCGAGCGGCATCGCGGGGGTGTGCGGGCGGGACGGGGCGCGGGCGGCGCAGGGCGCTGGGGGACGAGGCTGCGCGCGGGGGTGGCCGGCAGGGCCAGGCGGGGTGCGGGGAGCGCTGGTGCGCCCGCTGGCCGCGCCGTCGGGGGCTCCGCGTCCCGCGCCCGTGCAGCCGGGCCGCGCTCTGTCCGCAGCTCCGCGGAGGAAAGCGCCGGGCGGGACCGCGTTCGGGGCCAGCCCCGCCCCTGGGGCCACGATTTAAATATCCAGCCCGGCGGTCACTCGGGGGGGCGGGGCCATGCAAATCGGGCGTCTCTTAAAGCGCCAGGCCCCGTGGGAGGGCGCGGGCGCGCGGGGAGCTCGGTCCCCTGGCCCGGGCACAGGCAAGTCGATCGAGGGCCCTGCGGGCGCGCGCCCCGTGGTGGGGTCATGCTCCGTCCCGGGTCCCTACCCTGGTGGAGGCGCCTGGACCCTCAGAGCCGTCCTGGGGCAGACCTGTGTCCCTAAGGCCTGAGACGCTGGGCCCGCCCTGAAGGCGTGTCACCGTGCGGGGGGCGGGAGGGGCACCCTGGCCGGGCAGTGCGTTGGATGAACCTTTCTTAGAGTGGCCAGAGGCCCGTCCCAAGCTGCCCCCTTCCTAGCCCCGAGCCTGGGGACGCCAGGCTTCCAGCCACAGGGGCAGTGCCGGCTACCCCCGGAGCCCACTCCCTGCCTGGGTTTGTGTGAGGAAGAGCCCGGAGGAACACAGTGTTTGCATCTGCGCAGCCACATCAGGAGAAATTCCTGGGAGGTTCAGGACCTCGGGGGCGACCCCTGGGTAAAGCAAACCCTCCGTGGGGAAGACTGACCCACTCAGGCCCTGGGGGCAAGCGGGCCCATGACGCTGGCCTTGGCAGGCTGGGGCAGGACCCTGAGTCCCAGTATTTGAATTCAGGGTCCATACCCTGTGGCCTGCCAGCCCTCCCCTCTGCCTCTGGGGCTGCTGGCCTGGGCATTGCTCTGTGCCTGTCTGTCTTTCCTCAGGGGCCCAGCCGGGACCACCTCTGTGTCCCCAGGCTCATGGCAGGGCCTGATTCCTGGAACCCATCCGGCCCACCCTCGTCTCGTCTCTTAGTGTTGGGTGATGTTGGCTGCGTGCCACACTGGGGCCCCCAAAGATAAGGGTGCACCCCTCAAGACAAGCAGAAAAGGCCGGGCTGATGATAACTGCATCTACTACTGAGGTGCTGGGTGGTTTTTTGTTTGTCTTCGTGTCTGTATCTTCTGAAATGTCTCAGGTGAGCATGTGTTGTTTTTCAGTGAGGCCGGGCGCAGTCAATGTTATTTTTAAGAAGCAGCGGAGGGTTCTCTGGGTGTGACTGGGTGTTGCCAGTTCTCACAGATCCTGTACTTGGTGTTTTCACTTAAAGGTTCACAACCCTTTAGATCTGGTGTCAGGGCCAGGTGCAGAATGTTTAAGGAGGGGCTGACCCTGCACTGGCACGCCCCTGAGAGTGAGCGCGCCTGAAAGCTTGCCCCTGGCACCTTTCCCACCCTGCATGGGGTGGCGATTCTGTTTGCAGAGAGGCAAACTGAGCCTGGGAGAGGACAGGTTCTGTCCCACAGTTAGCCCTTAGATCACGGTCCCAGCTTTCAGAGCTCCAGGACAGCAGCACAGCCATGGTTCCAGGGCCAGGAAGGTCAAGGCCTCCTGTCTTTGGAGGAAGGAATCAGAGAGGGACTTGTAGAATCCCTACTTGAGGCCGGCTCTCGGTGAGAACCTGGCGAGGAGAGACACGTCTCCACACACATGCACACACGTCCACGCACACATACATATTCGCACGCACGGAGGCGGCATACGCACACACACGGGGCCTCAGGAACATGCTTTAACCCCTTCCTCAGCCCAGCCCTGGCCTCCCTGGGCAGGGAGGGCTGCTCCCACCTCTCGCTGGCACAGGCTGTGGGGTCAGGACAAGGCCCCATGTAGCAGCCTCGGGAACAGAGCTGCCAGGCGTCACCATGGCGGGAATCAGGGAGAACGCTTTTCTGTTTGTCTTTTTTCTAGAAAAACCTGGCAGCCCTCTATCCTCTTTTCAGTGCATTTGGGGCCTGGCTGGAAGGCCCTTCCCATGAGTTTGCGAAGGTGGGAGGTGGCAGTGCCAACCCCAGGGCAGGATTTCTCCCCTGAAGAAGCCTCATCATGAGGGCTTGAGGCTTTGACCCGCCCTAGGGCTGGCCCACCTCCTGCCCTGTCCCTACTCCCATCCACTTCCCACCACATGCTCCTGCTCTGCTCTTAGATCCCAGCCAGGGTGCTGCCTCCAAGCTGGCTGCTCAGGCCACAGGCGCCCTTCTCGCCACTGCTGACCTTCTCTTGAGCACATAAGACAGGGGCCTGGGTAACGACCCATTTCTGGGCTGGGTTTGGGTCAACTTGGGGGCAGGGCTGCCCAGGGCCCAGGGCATCTTGGGGCACACAGTGGCACTCACTGGCTACACCAAGTGGAGGCCTGTTTCTCTAGGCGGGTGGGCTGGTGGGCCTTGCAGGGGTCCACAGAGCAGCGTTTGGAAACGCTTAGGTTCACCTTTGTCCCAGAGAGTCAGAGCTGGTGGGCCTGGGGAGCAGCTGGCCGTGGGCCAGACCCTGGTCATGGCCCAGAGAGACCACTCTTCCTTGGGCCCGTACCCTGCTGACCAGCCTTGGCCTGCGCCCTGTGCAGATTTTCAGCCGGGCCCGGGGATCTGGGGGTTAACACAAGGCCCCATTGCTGCTGGGCATTACATTTCATTAAAAACACACACACACACGCACACACACACGCACACAACTCTGCAGGCAAAAAAGAGAAAAAAATGTTTTTTTCAGGTGCTAAAAATATTATCAGGAAATACTTTTCAGCAATGTGCTGTTTTAGGCTCCCCTCTGGACTCAAGGGCGCCTTTGTCTCTGCCACAGAAAATCCACATTTATCAAAACCAAAATTGTTTTATCAAGCAGGCTCATGTTCCGTGGCCAGGAAACCCGAGCCTCCCCAACCGGCCTGTGACATTTTAATTTAGGGCCTGAGTGTGTGTGCAATTTAGATGGGGTGCCCCGGGAGCTGCCCTCAGGATGCCCCAAGGCTCGGGGCTCCACGCAGGCGAAGGTGGGGAGTGCCTTCCTCAACCTGCACCTGGTCGGCTGGGCCTGTTTGTCTGGTCCTTACAGGGTAGGGGTGGGAGATCCCAGGGGGCTCAGGCCTGGGCTGCCAGGGGCAGGAGCTGGCTGGCTGTAGCCCACCCTAACTTTTTCTCCTTCTCTCCCAGAAGTGGCAGGTGGAGTGCAGGTCTCCTGCCCCAGAAGCCCCGATCCCAAGTAAACCTCTACATGCTGTGGAATGAGGCCAGGAGGTCACAGAGGCCAAGGACCGCTCCACCTGCTCACCTGGTCACTGTCCTGTGTGGACGGTTGGAGTCTTGGTGCAGTTGGCCCCCTGAGGGAGTGTGGGGGCCGCGCAGCCTGCCCTGCACCTCCTCTTCTCATGCACACGGAGCCGCGCACACGTTGACTCCCATGACGGGACTTCTGTGGTTGATCTTAAGGAAACGACGGGACTGGGGCTCAACACTTCCTTCCCAGGATGTTCACTGCTGCATGGGCTCAGGCATCGGCTCTCCCTATCCTGGGGGTGATGAGACCCTGCCTCCCGTTGGGAGCCTCGTCCGTCTCCCAAGTGCCCAAGACAGGACAGAGCCCACAGGGCTCCAGGACGGCGGGGACAGCCAGCAGTGGAGGGGCACTCAGGCCCTGCAGCAACAAAACCTGCTCTGAGGCGTTTTTAGTGATTCTGGAAAACTCTAATGGTATCGTGTCAAGCAAAAGTTTTAAAAAATAGTACTCTGAGTAGCATCCATGCTATAGCCTCAACCGTCCTAAGCACACGTGTGCTAGAAAAAGCTGGGTGTCACCTCAGGGGCTCTGCAGGTCACAAATCATGGTGGTGGTTACATTCTTCTTTCTATGTTTCCCTGCTAACATTTCTTTTGCAATTAATTTGAAAAGTATGAATGTTTTGGAAGCCCAGATAAACAATGCTCTTGGTTCCAGCTGGCCCACTTCCTGCCCCAGCTTCAGCCAACCAAAGCTTGTGCTTCCCTCAACCTGGGGTGCTTCAGAGGGCTGGCCTGCCATGGGGTGCTGCCGTCTGTGTTCAACGTGGCCCCTCCTCCAGTGGCCCCTCCCCAGGGGGCCTTCCTCTCCCATTTGTCCCCTCCCTGCGTTGGTCTGTATCTCCATCCTTGGATGCCTGCAGAGTGCTGCCCCCTGACCCAGGCACCTGAGGTCCTGTCAGAGCATCAGAGCTTCCTGGCCAGAGGCCAGATAGGACCCACCAACACCCCCTGCATGCCCCACATTCCTCAGCAAGCCTCAAGGGTGGCAGGAATCCGAAGGGATTTTGTGTTCTGTCTCAGACAGGAGCTGGGCCCCTGCCTGCATCCCTGCCTTGTGTGGGGGAGGGTCTCCTGGCTTTCAGAAACCCTGGGCACATTTATCCCCTCTGCCCCCCGGAGAGGGCAGGCAGAGGAAGAGCCAGACTGTGGAGGCCTCTGAGGCCGCAAGTGTTATGTGTGGCTCCAGCTCCATGAGGTGGTTCTGGGGGTCCATCCCCTGCAGGGACAGGCCTGAGGGCCACCTCCGAGTTTCCACCGACACCCAGACTCACTGTGGGTTCTAGAGGCAGACCCTGAGAGTTGCCCTCCCCTTGGGAGCACCACGGATCTGCGCCGCCTCCACCAGGCTGGCCTCAGGGGCTGCTCCCTCGAACACCCCGGCGCCGCTGGACCATGGCCGAGGCTGCTCTGCAGGCTGGGGATGGCAGCAGGGAGATGGACATGGCACTCCCAGAGCTGTGGCTGCGGCAGGTGATAGTCCCTCCACCGTTAGCTGAGTCCTTCTGGCCTCAGCTTGGGTGATCCCTCACGGAGGACACACCAGGGCCCTCTGGGGCTGGGATCACCCCACTTTATAGACAGGGAAACCAAAACCTAAAGAATCTGTCCAGGGTTGCACAGCTGGTGGGGGCACAGCTGGGACCCCCGTCCAGGCAGGCCTGGGCTGGCTGCAAGCCACGCACGGTGTTTTCCCCTCGACGCTGCGGAGGGCATGGGAAGGGGTCCGGCCCCCTCTTCCCTTGGCCTTGCCTTCACGAAGGGGCAGGGGGACCCCAGCCTCTGGGGCATGTCCTCTGGTTATCGTGGGTTCTGCCTGCCCCTCACTGGGCAGATGGGCCTGGGGCGAGGCCAGTGGAGAGGGAGCCTTGACCCAGGCTGTCAGGTCCCTGGCCTGACCCTCTCCTGACGACCGGGTGCAGAGTGTTGTCCCACAGCAAGGCTTCCTCCCCATCTGCAAACCAGGTGCTCGAAGGGCTGCTGTGAGAACAGAGGGAGAGCTCTCCAAACCCCAGCACAGTTCTCAGTCATCATGAGACCCAAACACAAAGGCCCACGCACGACCGCTGGACATGTTTAAGAACATGCCAACGTATTTCCACTAGAAAAATCCTCTTTTCCTAAATACATGCCTTTAGGTTGAACAAGTTAAAATAGCATCTCCTAGGCTGATTTAACTATTTGTTAAATTTCAAAATTCTGAGGCCCCTACGTGCATTTCAAATGTTCACCATGAGCAGCCAGGGCAGGGAGGGTCCTGAAACTGCCGGAGAGCGGGCTGTCTAAATAGGGCTGCGGAGTGGGAGTCCCCCTCTCTGAGGAGACTGCGGATGGGGAGGGAAGGCAGGGAAGGGACATACCTACTAAGTGCCAGGCCCTAGCACCACACGCTGCCTCTCAGTGACCCTCTCCACCTGCCATCTGGCAGAGCGTTCTCCAGCAGTGGGGGCAGGCCTGCCTGCTGTCCTCCACCCATGACTGGCCACGGCAGGGAGTGCCTATTAGGGCACCTGTGCCACCATTGACTCCTCCTTTGCCCACAGTAACCTCTGCTCATGGGTCACCAAGCTCTTCCCCTCAGAGCCCAGGCTGAACCTCAGAATCCTTCTCAACACAGCCCCCAACAATCAGGCAGAGGTGACAGACAGGAAGCAGCCTATTTGACCACCTCTCTTTAGCTATTGATTTTGCACAATTTACAGCATATGGTAACTCCATTACTAAGTCCACCAGAAAACCAGGTGTGCCAGGACAGACTATTTTAAGTCCCAGAGTGATCTTGAAATAGACACTGCTGCACATGGAGCTGCGGCTCACAGTAACTGTGATGGGGTGGGGGCCGGGAGCCTCTGGCCTTGCACCCCTAGGCCAGAGTCCTTGCGGCCGGGGCGGGAGGCCCCTGTGGTACATGCAGGGATTCACTGGGCTGGCTGGTGCCCCACAGATATCACAAATGACCACCTATAAAGCATGCGGCCCTTTGGAGAGGAGAACAAGTCACTCTGAGCAATGGTGATGGAGACGAGGAGCACAGATGGACACAGGTGGCCCATGCCATAGGCCCAAGATGGCCGCCTGGGTCTCCATAGCAACCCGGCCGGAATCCTGCAGGACCGTTCCCAGCATTTCCAGGCCAGGAACATGGGAGGCTCTGTAACAGCTTTAAGTGTTACACTCCCCTGCTTCTGGCGGCCAGTGAGTCACGGGGACTTGAATCTGAGTCACTTCCAGCCACCTGCCACCGTGACGGCCGCAGTTCCTGGATGCGGAGGCTCGCAGCCGCTGGGCGTGGGGATGTGGCGGCTGGCCTTACAGGACATTATGTTTTTGGCTCCAGTTGGTGGAAATGTTTTCCACGTGTTTTCCCGTGTTTACAGAGCTGAGGGCACGGAATGAAGCCGGGGAAGCCAGCCTGACAGGGCCTGGCCCCGGGGGTCTGGCCAGACCAGCTCCTCCAAAGTGGAAATGGAGTGCCAGGCAGGGGCAGGCTGTGAGGACGCCAGGCGGGGGTAGGGTGTGAGGATGCCCAAGCCCCTGCTCTCTGCCGGAGGGGAAGGGGCTGTCAGCGATGAACGACCTGCAGTGTGGTCCAGCACCAGCTGCAGGCCGAGTCCCCAGGGGCCAGAGGAGCTCTGTGGCCAATGGGCTCAGAGTGCGCCGCTGCCTGGGGACCCTGAGGAGTGAGTGTTAGCCCGGCTGGTGGCTACCTGCACCCTGTGCTTTCTGCTGGCATCGTGCCCACCCCATTTGAGCTTTGTCTCTCTTGTGCAGAGCACATGGCATTGGTTTTCTCAACAGTGGTTCCCCCAGCAGCCCAGCGCCTCCAGCACCTTCCCCAGGGCCCCCTGCAGGCCTGTCAGGGCTGAAGGCGGCTAGGCTGCTGGGTGGTGTGCAGCAGGCCTCACTGTCCTGTCTGGAAGGCCTGGTCGAGGTGGGCCTGTTGCCGCCGCTGCACTTCCTGGTCCAATTGCTCCTTCAGGCCGGCCACCTGGGGACAGAACGGTGGCTTAGGTCAGGTGGGCAGGCTGCATGGCCAGGGCCCCAGGGCACAGAGGCATGGAGGGCTCTGTGACAGGAAGGGCTGGAGGCCTCAGTCCACAGCTCCGAGGAGAGGTGGCATGCCTGGGACAGAAACATCAAGCAGACATCAGACCGACTCCCTTGCTGCCAGAGGGATGCGCAGTTCTGCCTCTCACCACGGATGCCCACTCTGCCCACCTGTGGAGGCCTCAGGATTATGGCCACTGCGCACCCTGGGTGGATGGGCCTGCTTCTATTCAGGCCATGAAAGCGCTCAGAATGAGGCCAGGTGCAGTGGCTCACTCACACCTGTAATCCCAGCACTCTGGGTGACTGAGGCGGGCCTTGGGCCTCAGGATCACCTGAGGTCAGGAGTTCAAGACCAGCCTGGCCAACATGGTGAAACCCCGTATCTACTAAAAATACAAAAAAATTAGCCAGGCATGGTGGTGGGTGCTTGCAATCCCAGCTACTCTGGAGGCTGAGGCAGGAGAATCGCTTGAACCCAGCAGGTAGAGGTTGCAGTGAGCCGAGATCGTGCCACTGCATACCAGCCCAGGCAACAGAGTGAGACTCCATCTCAAAAAAAAAAAAAAAAAAAAAAAAAAAGGCACTCAGAATGATAAGGAAATAAATAAATGTCCTTTTGCTAATAAATTTAGCAAAAGTGCCCTGGTGGTCATGGGCCCTAACTTGGGGATGACACTGGGCAGTCAGGTCACCTCCTGGGCCTCAGTTTCCTCATCTGTAAAATGAACAGACAGCTCTAAGGTCCTGACAGCTCTGAGCTCCAAGGCTCCGTGGTTCAGCCCAGCAGGTCTGTCACGTGCACCTATGCATGTGTGGGTGTGCCATGCACAACGCCTCACTGTGCCCACCTCATCCCCACATGTGCCACGCGTACCATTGTTTTCCCTTCGTGACTCTGAAGGACAGGTGCAGGGGCTGCCTCTGCTACAACCGTGTGTGCCGGGTGCTGTCTAAGCACCTCACACATAGCGACAGCTCAGTCTCCCAGTGACCCCTCACAGGAGCTGTCCTGCCTACCCCACTTTAGAGACAGGGCAATGGAGGCTCAGAGAGGGTGGTGACCTGCCCCAGAATCCACGCTCCACCTCCCAGTGACCTCACTGGGATATGAGGTAAACCTCGTGCCCTCGAGAGCAAAGAAGTGCCCAGAGCGGGTCTGGAGCCCACTGGGTGGCAGTGGAGAGCCCCTGTTGCTAGAAGACTTCAGGAAGTCACCCCTACTGGGTGCTGCTGCGGGGATGCCAGTCCTCCCTCCCTCCCTCTGCCCTCACCCAGGGGGTTGGGGTCCCAACCTTACCTGCTCTTCCAGCATCTTCACCCGCTGCTGGTGGGTCCATTCTTGGGACTCCAGGGCCTGTGTGGCCTGTGACTGGTCCCCATGCAGACGCTCTGCCTCTGTGGCCAGGTCCCGCTGGTGCTGGGCCGCCAGGTCCCGGAGCTGCTGGGTGTGGGCCTGCTCCATCTCCACCATCTGGGCCTGGAGTGAGAACGTGGGCGTCTCACTGCTGTCTCTCACCGAGGGCCACACAGAATCCCAGAGCAGGAGTGCCACAGGATGTCCCACCTCCCCTTGTGGGCCCCACTGTCCTCTGCCGGTGTTGACCCTGGCTAGGACTGCCCAGCAAACCTGGGGTTGGGTGCACATGTTCAGCCCACAGGCCTTGGGTTTGGCTTTGGCTGGGCTGGAGACTAAGCCGCAGCCTCCAGCGTGGGCCTAAAATCTGTTTTAATGGCATCCCAGGTTCCCTTTGTCTGGGCTGGGTGTCTGGAGGGCATCGAAGTTTGATTCTTGCCCATCCTGCCCCCATCCCCTGCTGGTCTCTGAGGATGGGGGTATGTCCAATGTGGACAGGGAGAATGAAGCCTCTGAGGCCCCTTCTGTGGGTGTCAGGCCCCTTGGCCCGCGCCCCAACACAAGCAGGCAGCAGCCTCTGGCCCTGTCCCGCAGGTCTCTCTGACCTCCCTCGTCTGACCCTTGTGCTGCTTTATAGAGCCCAGGCCTGGCTCCCACGGGGACTTCAATGTCTCAAGAAGGGCAGGAGCCTTGGGTCCTGGTTCCAGCTCTGCCTGGGGCCTTGATGTGAGTCTGTATCCATCACATGCACAAGCTGGTCCAGCCAGCCACCCTCCCCATGTGTGCACATGTGAGATGGAGGTACACCAGCCACCCCTCTGGAACTGACACCCTCCTGGATCCCACCCCACGTCTGTTCCCAAGTCTGGGGTACGCAGAGCTCTGCTGGCCCAGTTGACCTGCAGCTGATGATTTTGCCTCCGGACTCCATCCACCTCCTTGTGCAGGCTGTTCAGAGACCGGTCCAGCTGCTCCTTCTCAGCCCCCAGCCTCACCACATCCTCCTCCCTCTTCAGTGTCTCTTGCTCCGTCTGCAGAGAGCCCAGGAGGCAGAACTTGTGGCCTCGTGGCAGGAAGTGAGGTCAGGCCAGCCCTCCTCTGGGAGCACAGGGATGCCTCTGGGAAGGACTCTGAATTCCCCTAAGAGCTGGCAGGGTCAGGAAGGGCACTGCCCTGGGCCAGGAACCCCGGCCTCACCCAGGTCTATCTGACATCTGCAGCCAGAGTGACAGCTTAAGGAGGAGCATGGGGCCAAGTCCCCATCCAGCTACAGAGCAGCAGATGTCCCCATCAACATCCTTAATGGGGGGCTCTCTACATCTCTTAAGGTGACATTCCAGGAGCTACCCCGCAAACGTCTTCTCAGTGTTCCTCCAAGCCTCATGAGCCATGATCCCCTGCACTCTCTGGCACTTGCCTTCTGCTGCTGGCACTCAGGGTCTGCTGAGCTCGTACAGGCACAGGCCCTGAGAGCCAGGCACACTTGCTGTCTCAGTCCCAACAAGCCTGTGGCATTGGCAGCACCATCCCCACTGTCCGTCCTCCTTGTAGGCTGCAGGCTGCCCCAGTGAGCCCCCTCCTTAGTCACCCACTCCCCACCCCATCGGTACAGGTCAGGAAGGATAAGCTGCACGTTAAATATCGGGGAAGGCTACCCAGGAAACAGACATTTTCTGTGGGAAAGTTGGCAGGGACCTTTTGTTCCCTTGCGAACGGGCCCTCTAGAGGAAAGGATTGGATCTAAGAGTTCTGTCTTACAGAGAGCAGCACTAGGCAAGGAACACCGTCCACCAGCCCCAGACAGCCTGCTTCCAGCGCCCCCAGATGGCCTGGGGCATGCCTCATGGGTGGTTGGTGTGGATGGGATCCCATGATGTCAGAGGCTTATTGGGCCAGGCAGGTGCTAAGGCAGGCTTGGAACCCATTGCCCTGCTCTCCAAACCAGGCTCCCTCTGGGCTCTGCTGTGCCCAGCCCCGAGAGTCCTGCCTGCTGGGGCTGTGTCCACAGGGGCGACAGTCTTGGGCTGGAATGCCAGGTCAGTCCTCTGTCGGCCCCACTGCCCTCTCTTGGGTGCTGGGCCTGGCCCAGGATTGGGCAGCAGACCTGGGGCTCAGTGCACACACTCGGCACACCACAAACCTGCCCTCTCGGCTTCAGGGCTGGAGCAGGCCTGGTTTCGGGCCCTGAGACAGAAGGGATAATTCGCGTGGGGAAAGTTAGTTACGGGGTCAGTGGTTGGAACTGTGTGAAGAATAAGGGTTCCTTTCTTCTTCAGGACTGAGAAAAACAGAGTCCCCCTGCACTGAAAAAGGAAGTCCTGTTTCTTTAAAAATCCAGTTACACTCCTGGAAGTGCATGTTATAAAGAGAAGAGAAAAGTGAAATCCAAAATAAATAAACGGCCACATCCGGGTTTCCCCTCCTGAGACACCAATAAAGGGTTTATGGGTTTGTGGGCCCCTCACAGCTGACCTCCTGGAACTCATTAGCTGTTCCTTCCCTCCCCCTCCTCGGGCTCCAGGGACTCACGGCGGGCACTGTGCCCACAGCTGGCTCTGCGTCCCCGGGCAGTGCTGTCGCAACCAGGGCTGATGCAAGCCCCTGCTCCCCCACCCCCAGCAGCGTCCACGACAGGCCCCAACACCCTGGCTCCATGGCCCAGGGCTGGGCCCCCTTCAGGAACAGCAGCAGGGGCTGGTGACTGGACCCCACTGGCCGGCCCTCCTCTGGAGGGCAGGTAGTCCTTTGTGGACAAGCTGGCTGGTGGCTTTCGTGACTGCCCTCGCCTGCTGGCCCCTGTCCCCTGGGCAGGCTGGGCTGCAGGGCCTTGTGCAGGCGGCAGTGAGGCCTTGGGAAGTGCCACCCTGCTCTGGGGTTCACCCCTGAGGCCTCAGCACCTGCCTTCCCCACTTCATAGATGGGGGCACTGACCCTTCAGGGACCAGCTCAGCAGATGCCATCCTCCCCTCCCCCATCCCGAGTGCCCATCTTCCTTCCGGCTGCCTCCTCTGGAGCCCCATCCCACTCTGGGGCCTCCTGCCTACTCCCAGAGGCGGGCTATGAGGGCATCAGAACCCTGGGCCTACAGCTGGTGTAGCCCACTCTGCAGGGCCAGCCTGGGCCATGTGGGCACCTTCCCTGCTCCTGCAGGGCCTCAGCAGCACCCAGCAGAGGGACAAGGGGCTGTCCCCCAGGCTCCACGATGGAAGGCCAAAGACACCCGCCCTTCTCGCCCCTCCCCCTGTGCCATCTGGCCTGGGATGGCAAACAAACTTCCCAAGGAGAACAAGCTCGGCCCCCTGGGCGCTGGAGGTGAGAGCTTGTGCATGGGTTGTGGTGCCACCAACACCGGCTTGGCTTTCCAGGCCTGTCCCTCCAGCGGGGTGACCCACAGGTTCTCCCACGGCTCTCCCTGACCTCGGCAGCCACTCTGTGGCTGTGTGGGCAAGGGTGGCAGGAGAGTAGCTGACAGGGGGTGGGTGTGGGGCTCTGGGGTCAAGGGGTCATGAGGAGACCTGGGTAGTGGGCAACAGGGTCCAGGGATGCCAAGCTGGAGGCAGCTCCTCCAAAACCGTCTGGTCCAGAGGGAGGTGGGCACAGCTTCCGCAGGGACTCTGGCCTTAGGCCACCAGCACTACCCTACCCTGCACTCTTGGACCCACAGGGTGGGTGGGGGCTGTGCCCATGTGCCCATGTGATGCACCAGCCTCTCCAGTCAGCCCCATTTGTGAGCCAAACAGTCCCTGTGCAGGACCCTGATGGTGCCCTGGAGTCATTTAAACAACCCATGCTGTAGAAAGGGCAGTGTCCAGCCCTGCAGCCCTGGACAGCCACCATATCCCCATCAGGGAGGAGCCCAACTGTGCAGACAGCTCGAGGGGCTGGTGTCAAGGAGAGGAGGATGAACAGAAAGAGGGATCAGTGTGAGGCCACCCTGTGGGCTGGGACCATGTGCCCACTCTGCCCTCACTTGCCAGGTGGGGGCCCCTGCATGCACCCAGCCCCTGCTGTGGGGGGCAGCGAGACTCCCAGGGTGCATGCCTGGGTGTGGGCGGAGTGAGTGCCTGGGTGTGGGCGGAGTGAGTGCCTGGGTGTGGGCGGAGTGAGTGCCTGGGTGTGGGCGGAGTGAGTGCCTGGGTGTGGGCGGAGTGAGTGCCTGGGTGTGGGCGGAGTGAGTGCCTGGGTGTGGGTGGAGTGAGTGCCTGGGTGTGGGTCGAGTGCTCACAGAGGACAAGAGAGCCGCCTCTCAGGTGATGGGGAGGGGGTGCTGCACATAGCTGGCGCCTCCTTGGTGGGCGCAGAGAGTGATGGCTGGGGTGTGGACTCTGAGAAGCTCTGCCTGCTTCCTGGAACGCCATTTCCTCTTTCTCGGGCTCTTTCCCTATCAGTGAACCTGGCGGCTGTGCACCCCTCATCTCCCCGCGAATGGCTCTGCTACCTCAGGTTTCATGCGTGGGAGCCGGGTCCACGTGCGGCCTGGGGGCCGAGCTCAGTGGTCAGGATCACTGGATCACGCACCCACCAGCAGGGTGCCTCCACCCAGCCTCACCTCTGCAGCCCACCTCTGGACACGGTGGTCTACATTTGTCTGACCTTTTGGTTTCGAAACCCTGTCTTGCACCCAGGAGGCCAGGGGATGACAGGACTGGGTGAAGACCGTCACTTCACCCCTTGACCACTGAGCTCTTCCTGGTCTCTCACCCTGTCTGCCCAGGCCCTACCGGGAGCTCAGTGGCCACTGTCCCTGCGAGCTTTGAGAGGGGAGGTTGTGGGGCACCTGCACAGGCTGGCCCACCTGTTGCTCCAGCCACACCCCAGGGGAGGGGCGATCTCCACCATAAGCAGGGACCTCTGGGGCTCTGGGGTGCGCAGTGTGTCAGGTCACTCGGTTTCCAGCAAAGCTGGGCTCAGACACTGGAGACAAAGCCAGGGGTATGCCCCGACCCAAGGTGCCTGCCCAGGGAGAGTCAAGGCAGGGCGCACACGACACCACTGGTAGGTCTGTGGCCACCTGCGGGCGTCCGGACCCTGAGCTTAGTGCCACCCCGCCGGCAGGTGAGGACACAGAAGCCTGCGTGGGCCAGCGCCTTACCCAGCTGCGCCCGTGCGGATCCCCGCCACGAGCTCCTCCCGCCTCTCTAAGGACCACCGCGGCCGCCTACCTGTGCGAGCTGAGCGCGCAGCGCCGCGAGCTCCCCCTGCAGACGCGACCGCTGGGTGCGCAGTGCCGCCGTCTGCTCCTGCAGGACGCGCCTCTCTGCCTGCGCCTCGGCCGCCTCCTGCCCCCCGCTGAGCTGCTGTGGCCGCCAGAGCACCTGGGCCGGAGATGCTGGGCGTGGGCCAGGGATTGGGAGGGCCCGAGTTTCTGAGAGCAGGGTCGTTCCATCTAAGGCTGGCTCTGGCCTCAGCTTATTTTCTCCTAAACAGCGTGTCCACAGCTGACTCCTCTGTTGTAGGGGTGCTTACTGACGGCAAGAAATCCAGCCCCCTGACTCCCTGTGGGCCCCTCCAGCCTCAGTTTCCCCATCTGTCAGCAGGGGACTGGATGGGGCCTGGGTCTCTGCAGGCCTGCACACTTGCCTCCAGCATCTCTCTAGGCCTCCCATCATGCTGAGAGGCTGATTCTGCAAAGGACCACAGGGCCTCTCCCCTGTAGGCCTGTTCACCGCCTCCTGGTGACAGCGTACCCTGCCCTCCTGGGCACCCTCACCTGTCGCAGGGGCTCCAGCGATCCCTCAGCCTCCTGACACCTGTGCTCCAAGTTGGTGAGCTGCTCCTCCAGCAGCTTCCCCTTCTTGGCCAGGCCTTGATTGTGCCTCCTGCTCTCATCAAGGGCCTGGTGCAGCATGTCCAGTTGCTCCTGGGGGAAGGAGACACAGGGCCCACCTGGAGACAGTGGGGGTGGGAGGCCCTGCAGTGAAACCCTCACCTCAGGGCATCTGCCTAGACTGTCTGGCAGGACCGTATCACTGGGATGAAAACAGCAAGAACGTGGTTAAGAACAACTTGAAGTGTGTTGATCAGGTGGTTGTGTTTGCAATGTAAGTCAAAGGTGTGGACCCCCAGGAAGCCTGAGATGAAAGTCCTGGGGGTCTGGTCCAGCATGGGCAAAGGTTCAGGCTTGGCAGGTTCTCTGCTGCAGCCAGTGGTCTCAGAGGGCACATCAGTGGCATCCCTGCCCTGCTTCCAGCTTTGGTGACTCCTACTGCCCTTGGGATAAAGCCTGAGGTGACCCTCCCCAAGGCTCCTGGTGCGTGTTTGGCTCAGGCCCTGCTTGCCCCTTCTGGCATTACACTGTGTGTTCTCCTGCTTCAGCTCCCACCTGGGGACATGGCTAGTCCCATACTGAGCTCAGGAGCTCCAGAGCCCATGAAGGTGGGGTGGCCCATGATCCCTGCTATGTCCCTCACCCCTGCGCCCTCTTCTCAGCCCCTCTGCCATCAGCCTGTCCAAACCACCATTATCCACTTGGGACCAGTGACAACCCTTCAGTTTCCTCACTGTCCCCAGGCGCTGCTACCCCATGACGGCTGAGGGTGCATTTCACTTGAATATCATTGGCCATGCCACTGCCTTGCTCTGGGCCTGTGGTGCTCCCAGCTGCCCCCAGGACACTGCCCGGGGAACTCACCACCCCTTCAACCACGTGCACCTGCTGCCCTCTGTGCATAACCTTCCCCGTGGCGCCCCCACCCTACACTGCCGCCTTCTCCTCCTGCTTGCAGGAATCCCGCCTCCCTGTCACCCCAGGAGGGAGGATGGCACGCGTGAGGTCCCCTGAGCCCCAGAGCTGGCAGCTGTTGGGCCTTGAGAGGCCCCCAGATGTGTGAAGGAGCTTGCAAGGTATCTGTCACTGGAAGCTTGTTGACTGCAAGTTGGCCTGGTCAGGTCTTGATGAGCCCCCACCCTTGCACCTTCCCGAGGGTTTTGTGGGAGAAATGGCTAGCTCCTTCTGGGGTGGCCGGACTCTGGAAACACTTTTCTTTTTTTTTTGGTCCAACACTTTGTTACTTTAAAAAAGGAAAAGAAGGAAGACAATGCTTGCACCTCAGATTGTGATGCTTCACCCTTTGTGCAATTTTGAAAATTATAATTTTCTATATAATTTTCCAGTAGAAAAGCAGAAGTTTTCTTCAAATATTTCATGGCAGTTTTAAGAGGTCCCAAACCTCTTGTAATGACTCAGCTTTTATGGAATTTGAATGAACCGTAATAATTGAATGGTTCTCCTTTAATGCACAGCCCCACTGGCCCCAGGGAGTTGCTCTCATCTCTTGTGTCCCTTTGGCTCTAAATCCTGATGCTGTGTGAGAGGCAGGCTGGCAAAACAAACCTTGAAAACGTGGATTCGGTCTGAGAGTTTAAGTAGCTGCAGAAAAGAACCCCAGCCCTTCTCCCCCAGAGCTGAGTGCTCAGGGATGAGCCTGGGCTCCAGGGGCTCCTACCCTGGAGCCCGAGCAGGGCAGAGCCTGGGCTTGGAGCCAGCATGTGGGGCTCCAGTGTCAGTTTCCCCATCTGGGGCGCAGGTATGAGGCAGCCTCACAGGGGTCTCGTTGGGACCAAAAGAAGGCTGGGGCAGGGTGTGATGGTTCATGCCTGTAATCCCAGCACTTTGGGAGGCTGAGATGGGCAGATTATCTGAGGTCAGGAGTTCGAGACCAGCCTGGACAACACGATGAAGTCCCCCCGTTCCTACTAAAAATACAAAAAATTAGCCGGGCATAGTGGCGGGCGCCTGTAATCTCAGCTACTTGGGAGGCTGAGGCAGGAGAATCACTTGAACCTGGGAGGCAGAGGTTGCAGTGAATCAAGACCACGGCACTGTACTCCAGCCTGGGCAACAAGAGTGAAACTCTGTCTCAAAAAAAAAAAAAAAAAAAGGCTGGGAGGATGCTGTGGACTCTGAGATGCCCCCAGGGAAGCTGTTACAAATGAAGGGCTTGCATGGAAGGGTGGGAAATATCTGAACATGAGCAGAAGGGACAAAGGCCTCGTTAAGCATCCTGCTGGCTGCACAGAGGACAGGGCAGGCCACAAACACTTGCCAAATCCAACCTTTGGGCTCTTGGAATTGGGGTCCTCAGTCTGATACCTATTTATCCACTGGGCGACGATGGGCCAATTCGGTTGCCCACTGGCAGGTATCCCCTGGGCTCCCTGCACTGGCCAGTTGCCCCATCCTGCCCTCAGGCCAGTCACGGGACAGAGTTAGCTCTGGACAGTCCTCAGATACAAGGGTGTCAGAGCCCTTCACTCCACACAGTGGGACTCTGGGGCCAGACAGAGGGCAGGGTCTGATGCTAGTTCATGGTGGCAGGGCCTCCTCTGGACTGTGGCCTGCCCTGCTGCCTCTGTATCTATTCTGCCAGCCTCTCCTGCTTTGACCGTACTAGCATTATAGCCTGTTGTACTATTCACTTTCAAAATTTTCTTGGAAAATCTCAAACATCTATTCTTTCCTGTAAACTTTGCAATCAGCTTGTCCAGTATTCTCTAAACACATCACAAACAAATAGACAAAACCAAACCAAAAAAGCGAATTACCAACAAACAACTGACAAAGTGGGAGCATAAACACAGATCCACCCAGAAGCTGATCAAAAGAAAACCATCATCCCTGCCCAAGCCACAGCCTCTCCAGGAAGATGACATAAGCAACCAAAAGTGGCACAAACACGCACTCATGCTTTCAAATAACCCTCGAATTCAAGAAGAAATAAAAATGGAAACATCTAGAAAACTAGTAAAAAGGAAAAGAACTCACATCAAAATCTGATGGGACACATACCAAACCACAATTAGGGAAAATAGGATCACATTAAATGCTCTTACTATTGAAAGACAAAGCCCAAACATAAACAAATTACTTATTCCTTTCAAGAAATCAGAAAAATTACAACAAAAAGAGAGTGTTGGCTGGATGTGGTGGCTCATGCCTGTAATCCCAGCACTTTGGGAGGCCGAGGTGGGTGGATCACTTGAATGCAGGAGTTCGAGACCAGCCTAGGCAATATGGTTTAATACCATCTCTACAAACAAACAAACAAAAATACAAAAGTTAGCCAGGTGTAGTGGCATATGCCTGTAGTTCCAGCTACTCAAGAGGCTGAGGTAGGAAGATCGCTTGAGCCCAGGAGGTAGAGGCTGCAGTGAGCCGAAGTCATGCCACTGCACTCTAGCCTGGGTGACAGAGCGAGACCCTCAAAACATTTTTTAAAGAAGTAAACTAAAAATAAAAATAGAGTGTTCATAGAAACAAAAGCTGAAATCGATAAACTAGACAAAAATAAAAGAAGAGATAAATTGATTCTTTGAAAAGAGGAATAAAACATGAACTGCTGGCAAAATCAGACTAAGGGAAAGAAACAAATCTCCAATACGAAGGACAGAAACAGCTATAACTCCACATGTAAATAAGGCACAACTATGCATATAAGGCAGGTGTAACTGCTGACAAGACCATGTATATAACGAAGGTGATGCTGAGCAGATGTATGTGCAGGTCTTTGGCAATGTACTGAACGTGTAAGATGAGTTACGCTCCCATAGTGCAAAACTGACCCCAGAAGAAATGGAAAACTAAAACAGACCCTTGACAGAAAAGAGATTGGAAAGGGAATTCAGTTGTATTCTTCACAATGACAGGAGCTGCGGAATATGTACAGGGAAGTTCAACGAACCTTTCAAGAAAAGTTAGAGTGTTCCAGGTGATGGAAAAAATGGAAAGCCCACCAATTCATTTTATAAAATAAAAAAATTTTCTTAACACAAATCTGAAAAATATGTCACCATAAAGGAATTACAGATGCAAAAATTCTTGACAAAACACTGAGAGAAATCAAGTCCGACTGTGGCTCAGTGTCCACCTTGTGGGCCCTGCCGGCCCTAAGCTGCTCTGCTAGCTTTGGGCATGTGTGAACCCTGGAAAGTTTTAGAACCTGTGACTGATGCTGAGTTGAGCCCCCACAGGCTGGTGAACTCCAGGGCTGGCACTGGGGATGTGGGGAGCTGGGGGGGTGGGTGTGGCACCTGGGCACAACAGGAGAAGGAGGCCTGGGCAAGAGTCCAAGGACGCCATGAGCTTCCCTGAGCCACGGAGGCTGTGACCAGGCGTCAGTCCAAGGGTGGCATGGGGGGCCTTTCTGAGCCCACATGAGGCTGTGGGTGATGCTGGGTGAGTGCCAGGCCTCCCGCCTGCTCGGAGACCTGACCAGCTACTTGGGCACTGCTGCTGCATTCTGCGCGTGTCCTGACGCCACGGGCTGGTCCTGCACGGCTGTTCTATCAAATTCCCAGGGTAGCCTTGGAAACGGGGAGGGATTTGCTCTCAAACAAGAATCTTACTGTTTGCATAGCACAGCCTACCATTTAATTAGAAAAATATGTTTTTAATTAACTTTCTCTTGACAAACACATTGGCTTATGTGAAACAGGGGAAAAACCAGTCCATGAAAGTGAAAGAAGTTGTGTCAAATGCAGAGCTGGCTCTAGACTGTGCTGGGAGCTTGGCAGAGCCAGGAGAGGTGCCAGGCCTGCCCTACTGGACCCTAGCACCCCCCGGGCTCAGCAAGGGGCACCGGGCAGCAGGGAGCATGGCTGTGTGTTCCCAGCCCCCTGGCTGGCTAGAAAATTTCAACCCTGAACTCTCTGCCTGGGTTTGCTGTGTGTCACAAGTGTGGGCCTCTAGTGACTTAGGTGTGCCTGAATCCCGAAACCCACCACAATGACCAATAGATTACAAAAAGTTGGGAAAAACTTTCCTCAGGGCTGGAGACCAGGGACTCGGAGGACTCCCGAGGGCAGATGAAACCAACCTGCCTAAAAATAGGTGAAACAGTGATTGCCAGAATTATAAGAAAACATTGACACAATAATGATAGATTTAGCACATTTCACTAAAAAAGTTGAGCAAATTCTAGACCAAGCAGAAAAATGCATACAGACAAAGGTCTGATCAACGTCAGAGGTGTCCTCTGCACTTTGGCTCAGAGACCCAAAGTGGGACCCCCGTACCCCCATACCCTGGTTCAGAAGGGGGAGGACTGGAGGGAGCTGCAGGGGTGTTGGGGAGGCAACTCTATCCCACTAGGACCTCAGGAAAGAGGGTTGCTGTGGCTGGGGGACCCAGGGAGCCCTCCATCCTTGCGAGGCAAGCAGCTGGGGAGGTGGAGGACCCCACCAAGACTGTGCACCACCAAGACTGTGCACCAGAGAGCGCCCCCCCACCCCGCCCACTTCGGGAACAGAACGGCTCTGGGAGGGGCCTGAACTCCACTACTGGCTCCCTACACTCCCCAGTGGCTCCCTGTGGCTGCGGGATCTTGGAACCCTTCTCTCTGCCTTCCCTTTGAGCCTGAAATATTAGGATGGGGACACATAAAGTCCCTGATGGGCTCCTCTCCACTCCCAACTTCAAACAAGGCCAGAACTCCTTTCTTTAAAGACACGCAAAGGAAAAAAAAATCATAAAACTAGTGTCTACTGGGGTTTGAGAAAATAAAGTGGATCTGAGGAATCAGATCTGAGAGTCTCTAATTAAACAGAGAAGTGAGCTACTGACACGCATCAGAAGATGGTAACTGGCGTTCTCAAGGTGAGGACAGGGCAGGGGTCTCGAGGTGGACAATCCAAAATGAAAACTCAGGCCGAAGGAGGCCGCTGTGGGGGCAGGAGCAGCAGATGAGATGCGGCAGATCCTGAGATTAGCTGAGTAGGAGGAGTAAGACCTGAAATTCTCCTGGGACCTTGGGGAAAACCGAGATGAGAAGGAGAAATTCAAGACTGAAGCCAGGAGGACAGGTCCAGGGGGTCAGTATTGGGAGGCTGAGAATTCAGGACAAAAGAACAGAGAAGAGGGAGAAGGAGAAGAGATGGTTTTTGTTGTTGTTGTTGTTGTTTGTTTTGTTTTTGCAGTGGAAGGAACCTCTGTAAACAGAAGGTAGATTTGATTCTGCAAGTAGGGAGGGCTTGCCAGGGTAGGTAAAAATAATGAAAGGGGCCGACATGCCCACATTTTGGTGACATTTTTTAATTTCAAAGACATGGAGGCCTCTGGCTGCCACTCTGGAAAGAGTACTGATAAGAAAAACACAAAGAACCCAGGGAATCCGCACATTTCTTGAACCCATGTGAACTCAAGGTCAGAGGCAAACAAGGAGTTCAGAATCAAATGAAAACCAGGCCCCTCCAGGAGAGATGCCATGAGCGGCCCCAGTCATCATACCAGAGGCACAGAGTTCACCAAAGCTGGTAACACGTTGCTTGGACCCATGTGGCAGGCAGAGCCCTCAGAGGGCCCCGTGAGCTCTGGCCCCGACGTTATCCTGTGATTACATTGGATTCAGGCCAGGGGACTTTGTGGATGCAAATAGTTGACTCTGAGTTAAGCAAAGGGTGACCACCCAGGTGGGCCTCACCCACTCACGCATGCCCTCGGGTGTCGGCAGAAGGGAGCTGGGAGGTGTGAGGTACGTGGAGACGGGCGGCGTGGGGTGCAGGCGCTGCTGCCACACTGTGAGGCAGCCGAGGAAGCCCTGGGCTAGGAGTGGGGAGCCCTTGGTTGACCGCCCAGAAATGAGGCTCAGCCTGACAACGCAAGGAGCTGGACTCACCACGCCGGGATGAGCCAGGATGCCCCCAGAAGCACCTGGATGAGCCCAGAGGAGGACTCTTCCCTGGGGCCTTGGGTGGCCCAGCCCACCCCATGACTGTGAGACCCAGAGGGGAGATGCCAGTCACACCATGCGAGGCTTCTCACCCATGGGACTGGGGGCTCAAAAGTGGGGTTAAGTCATCAGTAATTTGTTGCAAAAAGTAGTGCACCAGGTGTGGGCTGCTGTGGGTAGACAGCCCTGGGGTCCGCAGACACCAAGAGAAGTTCAGCCTACAGGCAGGAGAGCCCAGAGTCCCCCTGGGGGACAGGTTTGGAAAAGGGGAGTGTCCAGAGCAGGAAGTTCTAAGGAACAAAAGTCTTAGCTCCTAGGGCACAGGTGGAAGCAGTGCAGTTGGGGAGGTAAGGGACAAGACCCACAGTCCCCGGCGGGGGCAGGGTGCTGTCCTGGGCCAGCCATAAGAGGCCCTGGATGCAATGCTAAGGGAAAAGAGGATGAATAAATCATCCCTACCATGCAAGACAAGACAGGCAGGAAAGACACATGGAAAGGAGAAAGTGTCCTATCAGCAACCTAAGGAAAAACAGCATGGGTTACCACAAAACTTCTACGTGGGACAAATTCCCCCAGAAGAGGCAGAGACACTAAGGTGGGATTGAAACCAAAGCCAGGCCGATGAAATGAAGGCTGAAAACACAAACACCAAAAAAGCAGAGGCCAAGAGGAAGACAAACAGCAGTCACAGGACGTGCAGGCCACTCAGGAAAAGTTAACCAAGAAACTTCAAATTCGAAGAGTCAAGAAATCTAGAAGTCAAACACCCTTGGAAATAGGGTATTTTTATTTCTCCTTGGAAATAAAAGGAGACACTGACAAAAAGAATTGTAGTGGGAAAATTCAACACATCATCCTTAGCTTTGATAAATTCAGGAACTGGATCAAATGTGGCCTATTTGAATAATGCATTTGTAAAGGTTGACTTCAAGGTCTCTTTCAGAACCGGGCGCGGTGGCTCACGCCTGTGATCCCAGCACTTTGGGAGGCGCGGTGGCTCGCGCCTGTGATCCCAGCACTTTGGGAGGCGCGGTGGCTCGCGCCTGGTCCAGTGCGCCCGCAGCACTTTGGGAGGCGCGGTGGCTCGGCTGCCACTGCGATCCCAGCACTTTGGGAGGCGCGGTGGCTCGCGCCTGCGATCCCAGCACTTTGGGAGGCGCGGTGGCTCGCGCCTGCGATCCCAGCACTTTGGGAGGCGCGGTGGCTCGCGCCTGCGATCCCAGCACTTTGGGAGGCGCGGTGGCTCGCGCCTGCGATCCCAGCACTTTGGGAGGCGCGGTGGCTCGCGCCTGCGATCCCAGCACTTTGGGAGGCGCGGTGGCTCGCGCCTGTGATCCCAGCACTTTGGGAGGCGCGGTGGCTCGCGCCTGCGATCCCAGCACTTTGGGAGGCGCGGTGGCTCGCGCCTGTGATCCCAGCACTTTGGGAGGCGCGGTGGCTCGCGCCTGTGATCCCAGCACTTTGGGAGGCCAAGGTGGGCAGACCATTTAAGGTCAGGAGCTCAAGACCAGCCTGGCCAACATGGTATGAAACCTGTCTCTACTAAAAATACAAAAAATTAGGTGTGATGGCAGGTGCCTGTAATCCCAGCCACTTGGGAAGCTGAGGCAGGAGAATCGCTTGAACCTGGGAGGCGAAGGTTGCAGTGAGCCAAGATGGTGCCACTGCACTCCAGCCTAGGTGACAGAACGAGACTCCATCTCCAAAAATAAAAAAAAAATAGAAGGCCTGTTTCAAAATGTGTAACCTGTGAACAGAGAATGTTATTTCTGAACGCACATGGGAGGCTTACATGTGACTATACATATAAAATGAAAGGCTGAGCTTGGCCCAGCTCAGCCCGCACCAGGTCCCCCGACTTCTTAGGTCCCCCCATCTCCTGGGCATCTCACAAGTCCTGACCCCATCCCTGGCCAGGCCGTCTGGGTCTTTCCACAGACGTCTCTAGTCTTACTGCCCCAGCAGCTTCTCACCAGAGGAGTCTTTCCAAAACAGAAATTTCCAAGCTCTTGGCTAACGAGGAACCTGCCCTCCCTGCAGCCTGGTCTCTGCTCTCTGCCTCTCCTCTCTCCCCTGCAGGAGCCACCTCCTCAGAGGCTCCGGGCCTTTGGGGGACTCAGGGCCTGCCTGCTAGTCGGAGTGCTAACAGCCCTCTGGGGGCCTCTGAGGGCCACCAGGCTCCCAGGCTGAGCCCCGCGTGGACCACGGGTGGCTTCTGCAGTTGACCTCGGGGTCGAGGCCTGGCCGGCTGCCCTTGGGGCCCTTCTGCCAACCTGCAAGGCTGTCCCTCCTGATAGCTCACCCAGGCCTCCCTCATTGGAGGGACACTTGGAGAGCAGTGGCTCCCCAATCTCTGTGCCCTGTCCCCTCTGCACTGTGCTGGCTCCCTCTTTCCAGAATGGGTTGGGGGACGCCTGGGGGCAGTTGCCCTGGGGAACCTCAGCCAGACACGCTGTTCCCTGGCCGCTGGGGCCTGCAAGGGAGCGCTCTGGAGCGGAACAGCTGTCCCCTGGCCCAGTCCTGACAAGAGAATCTCAGGACACCCCAGGGGATGTTTGGACCTGTGGGGCTGGGCTGGGCCTGGGGCTCCCCACCAGCACTGAGAACCAAGACCTGGGCCAGGCCTCCATCCACTCCGGCCTGGCTGTTCCATTTCCAGGCCTAGGCTCCTCACCTGAAAACCTCAGACCCAGCGGCCACCTCCCCAGCACAAAGCCTGGCGTGTAGGGATATTGACTTCAGCCCTTCCTGAGTGACACAGAATGAAAAGTGGTCTTGGAGCAGGACATGCGACCCTATAAAGAGCCCCAAGGTTGGGCCAGGGCCACCCCTATGCCTGCCAGTGTGGCCTCAGCAAGAAGGAAGGGCCTGGACTTGGGGCACTGCGCTCCCAGGGCCAAGTCCTCAGTTTTCCCAATCTGTAAAACAAGGGCTAGAACCACTTTAAAGACAGCTCTGCTAAGGGCAGCTCCAGTCCTGATGACCCCAAAGCCGCCTGCCACAACCCAGCTGCACCTCTGCCCCAGGGCCCCACTGGGCTGGCCCACTGGCTCCAGCCCTGAACACCCAAAGAAGCCCTTGCAGACCCTCTCTCCCACCTCCCGACCCTGTGGAATTCCCTGCAGGGTGTGAGGGTGACCAAGAGGCCTTGATTTGTGCCCCACCTGGGACCCACCCTGCCGCCTGCCCCACCTGCAGCCGCCGCTTCTCCTGGCCTGCTGCACGCACGCTCGCCAGGTGCTCCGCCTCCAGCCTGCGGAGCGCCTCCTTCTGCAGGGCACGCGCTGCCCAGGCGCTGCTCAGAGCACCCTCCACCCGGCGCCGGCCTGTGGGGCAAGCAGCGTGGCTCGAGGGGCTCCCACACTTCTCCCAGGTCACAGGCAGGCAATGCGAGGCTCCGTGGACTTGAGTGACTGGCTCCCACGTGGGGTGTGGTTCCATCCTCACAGCTCAAGGGTCCTGAGGCGGTCCCAGGGTCCCGGCTTCCTGTGTCTGGACTCTGGACCTCCTCCCCACCCATCCTTCCCTCCTGCCTCTTTCCTTTAATTGAGGGGGCAATAAGCAGAGAAACTTGTGCATGTGAGGCAGTGGGGGGCAGAAGGAAAGGGCCTCTCTGAGGGGGTGACAAGGGGCAGGGCCTGTCCGGGGAGAGCCTCATGGCTGTCTGGGGGAGAGGGTGCCAGGCAGAGGGCACAGCCCGGGCAAAGGCCCCCGGTGGGAACTGCAGGAGGCCAGGGTGGGGCTGGGGTACAGAGGATGCTGGGGGCCAGATTGGGAGGGCCCTGAGGGGCCTGTGGACGTCACTCCTCTGTTCTGGGGAAGTCACTGCTGAGAACTCCGATGCCAAGCACTGGCCCAGCCTCGCCAGGCCTGGTGGTTTGGGTGTTGTCCCCAGGCTCCCTTCCCACTCAGGAGCTGAAAGCTTAGAGCTGGCAGCAGTGGGGACATGGTGGTGCCACCCTCACAGCCACTCCCAGGGTGGGCGGGGCAGGGCAAGGGCGGTCACCTTCTTCCGCCTCAGCCAGGGCTTTCTGTAGCTGCCCCACACGGCTCTGGGCCCGGGCACACCTGCACTCCGCCTCGCTCAGCCGGCTGCTCAGGGTGGCCATCTGGACACAGGAGTCGTCCTGGGCAGAAGGACTGAGGTCAGTGGGGGCAGCCCAGCGGGCGGGTGGAGGGCCGAGGTATCTGCTAGAGGGTCGGGGCCAGCTGGGGCCGTTCACAGTCTAGCCTGTGGGTGTGCAGGGCAGGGCAGTGGGTGGGGCGGGTCGTGGGCTCAAGGAAGGGGTGGCGAAGGTGGTCACACGGGGAAGCTGAGCTGACCTGCAGGCCTGGGGAGGTGGAGGTGCCCACTGGGGCGGGGCCTGAAGGGTCCAGGTTTCAAGCACAGGTGTGCTGTGGGAAAGCTGGCAGGTGGTGGCCCACAGCCTGTGGTCAGGGGGACCGGCAGGGGCTGCCCTGGCAGGACTTAGAGTGCAGACAGGACCCTGCCCCCTGGGGCTGGCAGCGGTGGGAAGGTGGGCCTGAAGGGAACGAGTGTGCACGGAGGACCCCGGCCAGGGCTAAGGGCCTGCCTCTGTTTTTCCCACAGTTCTGCCCACTGGAGTCCCCTGCCCACTGTCAGCCAGCGAGTTGGGAGGGGGCCGCTCACAGGTGGTTCTGTGGGAGCCCTGAAGCCAGGAGCAGCCCCTGGGGAGCTTGGCCCCACCGGAGGGGAGCACTGGGAGGAGCTGGCTCTGTCCTGCACTTGCCCTGGCAGCTCTTCAGGGGTGGCATGAGCTGCAGAATGCCCTGCCCTGGGCCCTGGTGGGTGTCACAGCAGGGCCTGGCTCCAGGGGCTTTTCAGCCTGGTCTGAGGAAGGGGGCAGCCCCCAGCCACCCGAGGCACTTGGGTTTGGGGGCCGTGGTGGTACTGGTGTTTAGCACAACAAACAGGATAGCCTGGACACTGACCCTGAGACCCAAGGATGTGCGGATGGGTGGACAGCAGGTATTCTTCCCAGAGACCCCCAGGGGGTGCCGCCGTGGGTGGGAGGACCCCAGCCCCCATTACCCGCTCCCGCTGGGCTTCCCGGAGCTTCTGCACAAAGTCCCGCAGGACGTCCTGCACAGTGGCCACATCCACAAGCTCTGAGCTGCGGCCTCCGGGTGTGGGCGAGGGCCATCGGAGGGGCGAGTGGGGCCTAGCTGGGGGGCTGGCACCCTGGTGCCCAGGGAGAGCCTGGGAGCCGTCGGAGCCTGTGGGAGGTGACAGCGGAGGGGTTGTGGGCAGGAACACAGTGACAGATACTCGCCCTTCCCCCTTCCTCTCTGCTGCCCCAGCCATGGGAGCTTGGGGAGCCAGTCGCAGGCTCCTACAATTGCCTGTCCAAGTCCCTCACTGTGCGAGTCTCGAGGCCTGAAAGAGAGGTGCCCAGGCCAGGGACTGAGCTGGGACAGGGGCCCGCCTGTCTCCACTGAGGACTCTGACCTTTGGTGGGGGAACCAGGCTGCTCCGGGGAGACCCACGGGCTCTGTCTCCAGAGCCCCAGGCCACGGCGGAGTGTGGAGCACAGCCGGCCCAGCTGGGCCTCCGCGTCCCGCCTCGCACCCTCAGCCTGGGCCAGCTCCTGCTCCAGGCTGTGGATTCGGTGACAGGCCTGGTCCAGGCGAGCCTGGAGAGCATCAGCCACACCGCTGGCTTCCTGCAGCTTCCTGGTGACACGATGCAGCTCTGCTCGGAGGGTCTGCTCAGCCCCCCGGCTCTCCTGGAGGTGCTCCTGGAGCCGCTGTCCATGGGCCTCCCCTGCGGCCTCCACCTCTGCCAACTTCCTCTGCAGCCCCAGGACCTGTAGGAGGGATGTTGGGGTGCGCCCGTGGGAGACAGTGAGGAAGTGGGGTGGGCCTCCTCCCTCTGCTCCCCGACACCCAGGTCCTTCCCTTCTGAGCACAGGCAGCCCTCCCACCTCCTTCCGGGCACCCTCGCGCTTGGCCTCCGCCTTGGCTGCCTGCCTCCGCAGCTCCAGCACCTCCTGCGAGCATTGCACCTGCAGCTCATGGGCCTCTCCACTCCTCCTCTGGTTCTCAGCCTTTAGCGTCCTCACCTGGGAGCGTGGGGCCGCATGGACAGGGTCACCGGTCTCTGTGCTGGAAGCCAGGCAGCCTCCCTGCCTCCTGCCTCCACTCACACGTCCCTTGAGGGTAGCTGGCCACAGTTAGGGAGTCGGGCTGAGGTGTTCCCAAAGGGCCTTGCCCTGGGAGTTGTCACCCTCAGCCACTCCGCAGACACCTACCTGGGACCTCCTTGGAGGACCTGGGACAAGGAGGAGGCTCAGGTGGGGCAGGGTGGGCACTGATTAGGGAGTGTGGGCAGTGTCTGGGGTGCACTGGCGCCAACTGCCCCGAGGCTGCCATTATGGGAGGGAGCTAGGCCTCGGGGAAGCCAGCACCCTGCTCTGCAGAGGCCAGGCCTCCCCTCCAGCCTGCCTGAGTTCCCGAGCGCCTCCGGAAGGTGTTACATGTAGGACACTTCCGTGTGCTGCTGTGCGTGGCTCCCTTCCTCCTCGCTAGAGCATTCCTGGTTTTGCCCTCTCCAGTCTTATCATCTGCGCCCCATGGGCACAGACCCAACCAGGGACCCTGTGAGCCTGAGCAGGGCATGGCCCAAAGTCTGGGGACAGAGCGGTTCAAAGGCGGCAGCAAGGCCAGGTCTGGGGGCTCCTGCACTGCAGCCAGAGGGTGCCCTGGGAGGAGCTGGGACCCACCAGGCGGGAGGGTGCCTGGTTGGATGTTGACCCTTCCCTGCCACCCTACCTGTCTGTGGAGCTCCTGGAGCTCCTGACGGGCGTCCCCCCGCTCCTGCTCCAGCTCCCGCAGGCGGGCCCGCAGTGCACTGGCCTCCTGCTGCAACGCCGCCCGGGCCTCCTCCAGGACGAGCAGCTTCTGCTCCTTCTCCTCCTTGGACCGCTTAAAACTGACGAGGGTGCCACAGGCTGGGGTCCCCGCACCTCCTGGGGGGGCCAGCACAGCTGCCCAGCAGGTCTCTGTCTCCCCTAGTGATACACTGTCCCCAGTCTTCCCTCCACAGTGTCTTCAAATTCAGCCTCTGCAGGGCTCCCTGTCACCTTTCAGACATATGTCCACCCAGGTCCCAGTGCCCGGCCGCATGGCCCCTGTCCACTATCCACTCTTCAGCGCCTCCTCACCTCATCCCTCCCTGTCTCCCCCTCTCCCTCACACTCAGTATCCAGCCCAGCCTGTCACCTCTGCCACCTGCTGTGAGGGTTGTGCTGTCCCGCCCAGCTGCCCCACAGGGGCCTTTCTGGAGACCCAGCCAGGCCCTTGGCCTCCCTCTGCTCCCCAGCTCTGCACCACCTCCTGGAGGCCACCTGTGACCTATCTTGCCTGTTGGATGGGAACTCCCTGTGGGCAGGGACAGGTGTGTCTGTGTCCTCAGACATCCCTCGCACTGGCCAGCATTGCTGACCTCTTGGACTGGGCAGTGGGAGGCCTGCTTGGCATGTCTACCCCACCATCAGTGGAGCCCAAATCAGCAGGACGCCCCTGCCTAAACCCCTTGCCCCATCCTCCCTATGGCCTGGGTGGGCAGCAGGCTGCAGGGCACCCCCAGCTGCTCCTGGGTGGCCGCCATACCTGGCCTTCTCCCGCTCCGCCCTGCAGATGGTGGCTCGCAGCTCACTGTTGAAAAGCAACAGTACGTCCTTCTCGCGGGCCTCGTCGCTCAGTGCCTGGCGGGCCTCCTGGGCCTCCCTGCGCAGCCCCTCCCGGCTCTCCTCGATGCTCTGCAGCTCCTGGCGCAGTGCGGCCAGTCCCTCCTGGGCCATGGTCAGCTGTGCCCGCAGCCTTTCAGCCTGGGGAGGAGCATATAGCTCTAGAGGCCAGCTGGGGACTACTGCTCCAGGGATAGCCACAGGGGCTGTGGCCTCTGACGCTGGTGTGGCAGGCACAGGTGCCCTGCCCAACTTGGTCCCCATGCGCTTTGCTCACCCCATGAAGCCACCAGTCCCTGGTGCAGAGACTGAAGCGCAGCTTCCACCAGCTGGGGCAGGGCCAGCCCAAGAGCCCAGAGAACCCCACCTTGACCCCCCGGGCCCGGGCCCACCCTGTGGCCTCCCTGGACCCCCAGGACGCTGACCACTGGTAAGCAAAGCCTACCTGGGATGTGGCTCAGCACACGTGTCCTCACTGTCACCGCCCAGGGCCCTTCCCACCTCCCGCCCCCCACATCTAGTCCTCTCCTTAGGTGACAGTGTGGTGCCCAGGCCGCTGCCTGTCCTAGTGTGGGCAGCAGCCTCGGCAGGCAGGCTGGGCACTGACCCCGCCACAGTGACCCCGCCACAGTGACCCCGCCACAATGACCCTGACACAGTGACCCTGACACAGTGGGGCTCACGCACTCCCTCGGCCCTCCTTCCCCCGTTGACATGGGAGGCAGTGGGAGGAGGGTCCCTGGCGATGGGGGGGCAGTGGGAGGAGGGTGTTGGTTCCCCACTCTGGATACCAGGCATCTCACGGTGCCCAGGAGAACCCAGGGGTGGGGTCTGGAGGACAGTGGCAGCCTGGCAGGAAGGCCCTCCCCGGCACCTACGCTCTGGGGTGGGGACTTGCTGGGGTTTGGCCCTGGCGCCCAGTCTCCTGCCTCCCAGGTCTGAGCTCTGGGCCTGGCCAGAAACCCTGGAGAGGGCTCCCTTCCGGCTCTCGTGTGTCCCGGAGGAGGAGACAGAGGGAGCCAGGGGGCGTGCCCAGAGGTGGAAGCCACAAAGACTCCGCGACGGCAAGGCGCTGGCTGGCCGAAAGCAAGCCCCTCTTTCTGGCTGTTTTCACGGGATATTGTCCAGGCCCCCGGCCGGCCTGGCTCCCGAGGCTGCCGCTGTTATTGTTGTTCTGTTTTTGGGAAGGGCCGGAGCCTCCCCTCCGCTCCCTCCACCCCCACACGTGGGAGCCGTGACCGTGCGGAGCATTTTCCGCCGAGCTCAGCAGAAACCCGCCCAGAAGGTCAAGGACCCGCACAAGGGCCCATGCATCATAAAAGAAACTGTTTTCATTTCCCAGGGCAGAGGAGATGAAAACAAGCAAAACAAATGCAGGAGGAGGGCCGCCCCCACCCCACCCCCACCCCACCCGCTCCCTCTGCCTCATGAGAACAGCCATCCCTTTTACAGGAATTTTACAGCCAAATCACTTAATGTGATTATAATAATTATTTCGTTGCTAGAAATTGTATAAACAGCCTCTTTTAAAAATCTCCTGCAGGGAGGCAGCTCCAGAGCTCTGCAGGGGAGGAGGGCTGTGGAGGGACAGCAAGGGAGGGTGAGTGTGTGTGTGTGTGTGAGAGAGTGTGCGTGTGTGAGTGTGCATGTGTGTGAGTGCGCATGTGTGTGAGTGCATGTGTGATGAGTGTGTGAGTGTGCATGTGTGTGAGTGTGTATGTGTGTGAGTCTGTGTGTGAGAGTCTGTGTGTGTGTGTGATGAGTGTGTGTGAGTGTGCGTGTGTGCGTGTGTGCGTGTGTGTGTGTGCATGTGTGAGTGTGCATGAGTGTGCGTGTGAGTGTGCATGTGTGAGTGTGCGTGTGTGTGTGCGTGTGTGTGAGTGTGCGTGTGTGAGTGCATGTGTGATGAGTGTGTATGTGCATGTGTGTGTCTCTGTGTGTGTGATGAGTGTGTATGTGTGTGCATGTATGTGATGAGTGTGTGTTTATGTGTGTGTGTGTGCATGTGTGTGTGATGAGTGTATGTGTGTGTGCATGTGTGTGAGTGTGTGTGTGATGAGTGTGTGTGAGTGTATGTGTTTGCATGTGTGTGTGAGTGTGGGTGATGAGTGTGTGAGAGTGTGTGTGTGTGTGAGCTGGTGCAGGTGTCCACTCTGTCCGTGGTGTGCTTATGTGTGTGCATGCATGTGTGTGCATGTCTGTATGCCTGTGCGTGCACTGTGTGTGAGTGCATGTGTGTGTGATGAGTGTGTGTGTGAGTGTGTGTGTGAGTGTGTGTGTGTTTGTGCTAGGTATGTGCATATGAGTGCACACATGCATGTGTGTACTTCCACGTTTCTGTGCATGCCTGTGTGCACTGTGTGGTGTCCGTATGTGATTCCAGCATGAATTGTGTGAGTGTGAGTGCGTGGGGCATGTGTGCATTCAGCATGCGTGCACCACTCTGAGTGTTGAGTGTACACAGGCGTGTGTGGTCTCACTGTGTAGATGATGTGTATGCATGTGTGCACACACGTGTGGACCTCAGGCAGGGTCTGAGAGCCTGGAAGTTCCTCCAGTTTAAAGGTTGTGAAAAATGTTACGGTTTCCATGGTGACCCTGGGCCAGCCTGGCGCCTGGACGGGCTCTGCTTGCTTTTCTCTGTGATGGTTCCTCTTGTCCCCCTCAGCCGTCCTCACCTTTTGGCCCCCACTCCCTTTCTGGGCACCCTGCTCTGTTCTGGGAGCCCCCACTCCCTTCCAGGGGCTGCTCCTTTGAGAGCCTGACCTTCCCATGAGGCCTGCACTCCCTTCCTTGAGGCCAGCAGAACCAATGCACCCCCACCCCCGCCACACCTCTCCCTCCCCCTCCCCCTGCTGCCCCTAGTTTTGAAATCTCCTTTTGCTTCCCCGTGTGGTCGCTGACCGGGCCTGACTTTGAAATCTGTTGAAAGGAGACCTTTCTCCTTGGGGCCAGTGTAAACAGCCGGTCATGTTAAATCATGTTCTCTTCCTCTCTCAGCCTGCCTCTCGGGTGTGCTTGGGGAGGGCTGAGCCCCTCTCCTCACTCTCCCCTGCCTGGCGGCCCGGCCTCTGGGGCGTGGTGTGCGCCAGCACCAGGTCAGCTGTGCAGTCCCCAGCCTTGGCAAGCAGCCCAGGGAGTGTGCAAGGCCGCCCCATCCCCATGGGCCCCGCTGGGGCTCCAGCTGACCCTCCCCTCTTCCAGCCCAGATCCGTGTGCCCTCCTGCCCTTGCCACACACAGGCGTCCCCATATCCTGCCAACCCCCCTCAGAAACGCCTCTCCAATCTGCCTGCCTGCTGAGCCCAGGCCAGCCTAGCCCTGGCCACTCTTGCCCCTGCCCAAGACTGTCCCCCACCCCACGTCACCATCATGTGGCTCCTGGGGGCCTCCGTGTCAACCTTGGGCCTTTGGCCAGGTCCAGGCCCACCCCGAAATCTCCACTAACCCACTTCTTTTCTTGCCCGCTGCCCTAAATCCAGCCTCCCCCCACCCTAGTGTCCAGACCAATGAAGTCCATGCCTCCCGCTGTGTGGACAGAGCCCAGCTTGTCAAGGGCCTCCCCACGCCTCAGTGGATGGTGCGATTGGTCTCCTGGCTAAGGGTCCGAATTCTCCTTTGCCCCCAGTCATGCCTGTCTCTCGGAAAGGCTTTGGGAGGTGACAGCTGCCCCAGTGCCTCCAGAATCAGGCCCTTCCTGACTCCACTTTCTTAACTGTGTGTGGAACAAGGGGGCTGTCCGGACTCCCGGAGCCTTCGGCTGCGTGGCTCTGGCCACCCTTTCACATGCTGGCCTTCCCAGCAGCAGGTGTGCCCCACCAGTGCCCTGGGAGCTGGCAGGTGGGCTGTGCACCTTCCCAGGACAAGCAGGAGCCGCATTGGGACCCACGGCAGGTTGCAGAGAGCTGCCCTCACGCTCAGCTGGCACCCTGACTCAGCCAAGTTCACCTGACTCAGCCAAGTTCACCTGACTCAGCCAAGCCCACTTGCACCCCAAAGTCAAACTCACCCCTTCAGGAGGCTTAGAAATGATGCCTTCTTTTCCTTGAAAACCAGTGTCAGCTTCCCTTAGCCAATGGCCTGGGCCAGGCACCGTTTCATCTGCTCTGAGAGCCCAGGCTTGGCTTACTGCCCGGTATGAGGGCCCCTAGCCCCACAGCCCCTGTTGCTGTTTGCCTCTTCCTAGTCCCGGAGACGACTCCGCCCTCCTCCGTGGTACAGCCTCTCTTTCCTCCTGGCACCCCCACTCTCCTCTCTCAGTACCTGCCCTGCTTTCTTCTCTCCTCTGACATCCCCAGAAGCCCCCCAGCCCCACCCCTCACCTCTCTCTCCACATCGCCCCGCTCGGCCGATAGGTCCCGGAGGCTGTCGCATAGGGCCGTGGTCTCCCTCTGATGGGCCGTGATGGCATCCTCAAACTGGGCCTGGAGGGCCTTCAGCTCCTCGGTTGTGGAGCTGATGGTGGCCTGCGGGGAGAAGGGAGCCCACAGTGGCACCAGGGAGCCGGGCCCAGCAGTGGAGGGTGAGGTAAGGCCAGGACCCTGGAGCAGGACGTGTTGCAGTGGCTGGGGAGGGGGAGCTGGGCCCTGCTGATCACGCACGCCCCGGGTAACCGGTGTTTCCTAAACTATCAGACAGGCTGCTGGGATGAGGAGACGTCCACGGTCCCTGCCAGCTGTGATGTGTAAGTGCCCATGGACACAGCAGGAGGCAGCCGCTCAGCTCAGCCTGCGCCCTGGGGCAGGGCCCATCCCTGCAGGGACCACCACACACTGGGCAGCTCTACCCTCCATTTGGGACTGAGCTCAGCTGGAGTTGGCTCCCTGTCGCCTACACCACCCGAGGTGTCCTCTCGGGCCTTGGGGCAGTGTGGCCAGTAGGGATCCTTGGGCCAGGAGGCCCCAGGCTCAGCCCATGGCCCCTTGTTGATGGACGAATGCCGCCTTCTTCACCCCAAGCCCCAGGCCCCTTGGGACACCACCCTGCTTCCTCTCAAGGCCCTCCCCTCTGCACCCCTGCCCAGGTTAGGGCGGCAGGGCAGACGCGGCTCAGGGGGGTCTCAGCTTTCTGGGCCTCAGTGTCCCCAACATGAAGAGTCAGAGCCCTGCCCTGCTCAGGTTCCACACCCCTGGGCTCGGGGCACCGGACCAAGCCTCCAGGCAGCAGCAGGCGGCTGGCAGGGGGTGGCTGGTGGGGGACGGCTCCCTCCAGAGCTGGCTCAGTGTTCCCGGGGGCACAGGTGCCCGCATGGCTGCCCCTGTGCCAGATTTCGGGAGCCCCTCCTGTCCACCTGGATTCTGCTAGGGCGGGGGCTCCTGCAGCCTGTGACCCGTGACCCCTGCTCCTGGGAAAGGAGCCGAGGTGCTGCCTCCTGTCCTCGTTCTCCACAACCCCCTGTGGTCTCTCCGGACTGACAAGGGCCATTTTGGGTGACCAGGCCATGGCTCTGTGCCTTAGCATGCCCCAGCGCTGCCCTGGCTGCAGGATACCCCTGTGAGGGCCTCAGGGACAGGGCAGCGGCCGGGAGCCCGGCGGCAGTGGTGACTCAGCCTGGGGGCACATGCTCTCCTGTCATCTGGAGCCTGGTGCTCCTTGGCAGCATTCCTCTCCTCCCGCTGCTCTCAACAGTTTTAATTTCCATTTTCTGAGCCGAGGTGGCAAAGGAACCCTTAACGAGCTCCCCAGGGAGGCCGGCTGGCTGGCAGGCCTGGTCCCGAGTCCCCGGGAGACTCAGGGCCAGCTCGAGAGAAGGCTCCAGAAGCCAGCACTGGCTCCAGACGAGGCCTCTCTGTGAGCCACAGGCGTCAGCTCCCAGGGCCCCAGGAGGGCTTTCCTGGGTCCCTGCCCACGGGTGGAGCCGAGGGAGCTGCTGGCCAGTGGTCGGGAGGAGGGAGGGGCACGGTCACAGGCCCGATGCCAAGCTTGGTCCTCCTGGGCCCCGTGGAACGCTCTAGGCCTCAGGGGCAGGAACAGAGCAGGGCAGGGCTCCACGGCGTGAGGGGCAAGGCTCCCCTGGGCTGCCAGGCGCTCCTCTGGGCAGCCCTGCTTGAAGGGACTAGGAATCCGGGTCGTGGCGTCGGGCAGGAGGGGGCGAAGTGACACCCCAGTAGCCGCCTCCTCATTGCAGTGCCCTCTCCTGCTGTGCAGCACCCTGGGGATGGGGCACACGCCCTCCATCCTGGCTCCGAGTCACCGAGCGTCCCCCAAGGCCCTGCTGCCTGGACACCCCGGCCCCCCACCAGGCGGCCTGCGTATGCCTCTGTGCAGTCAGTGAGAAGTGCCCCCGTTCAGAATGGGCACAGAAGGGGCCTGCCTCCCGCACCTGGCACCATGGCCTGTGTTCTGTTCACTGCACACTGAGCCATACATTCAACGCCAGTCAGGTGGGTGTCCAACCCTGCCTCCTTGCCAGGGACAGGGGGGAAAAGGTTTGCCCGAATTTAAAATGAGCCAAGAAGTATGGGAATGAACGGCCTCGTCACTGAACATGCTGGGAGCTGGGACAGAGGCAGGAGGCAGGTGTGGGCCCAGCTGACGGGGTGTGTGCAGCCAGAGAGGGCAGAGAGCGGGTCAGAGCTGGGGTCGGCAGTCAGCCTCGCCCTCAATCCTACCTGTTCCTGGAAAGGAGAGGAGCTGCGTCCGGTGCCTTGAGCCCATTCCCTCCCTGCCCAGGGCACCCTGGCACTTGTGTCTGTTCAGGGCCAGCCCCTGCCACCCAGGACAGCAGCCCCGACCTCAACACAAACAGCCCCTCCTCAGACCCCTGGACCTTGGGAGGCCCTGCTGTGGCTCCTCCATCTATGTCCTATTGCTGGGCTCTGGCCACCCTCCCTGTGAGCCAGGCCCCCATCCATGTTCTATCACTGGGCTTTGGCTACTCCCTAGGAGCCCTGCCCACTCCCTTTGTCTCCCATGTGGGACCTGGTGCCACATCACAGATGGGCTGAAGCCTTGGCGCTCTGTAAGCAACAACAGTGGGTGCCCAGCCTTGCCCACGAGCTGGAGGCATAGGCCTCAGAGTCCTCCTCCCCAAAGCCCTGCTCCCCAGATCCCTCCTCTCCAGATCCCTCCTCTCCAGAGCCCTCCTCCCTATAGCTCTGCCCAGTGCCCTATTTGCTGCTGCCCGCCCAGCCCTCTGGACTTGGGCTCTAGGGGAGGACTCAGGGGTCCCAGGTGACCCCCACTGGCTGCCTGCAGCAGCCTTTGTGCATGGGAGAGCCTCTCTTCACTGGCTAAGGGTGGGCAGCTGTTTGCTGGGGGCTGGGCTAGGCCCTCCGTGGACGACTCTCTCCTGGCTCCACTCAGGACTCAATATGGGTTTCCTTTCCTGCTAAGAGTTTCCTCGGGTGCAGGCCCAGCTGCCTCAGGTTCAGTTTCTCCCTTGGAAGGATCTCTGTGGTGAGTTCCACGAGGCTGGTGCACATGTCCCCAGCTGTGCTTTTCTATGAGCAGCTCCAGTGCACACACGGGCTCAGCCGCTTGCTGCTGCTGGCTCATGGGTGGCCCCCAGCTGGGCCAGGCCTCCCCTCTCTGGCCCCTGCCAGCCCTGAAGCTAAGGGAGAACTGCTTTGGTTCACTCGGACCTTTCCTGCCCATTGGGTGCCCCTCCCACCAGGAGCCCTGGAGGCACCGGGGGGAAACTGACTCTCAGGAAGGGAGGGGATGGAGAGGGATATGCCACTAGGATCAGGCAGGAGGGGTGGCTCCCTGGGGTCAGCTAGCACCTGCTTGGCTGTGCACGTGGCCGGGCTGCGTGTGGCTCACCTGTGCTTGCTCCTGCTGGCTCTGTGCCTCCTGCTGTACCCGCTCCAGCACCCTCCTGGCCCTGGAGAGCTCCTCGCTCAGAAGGCTCCGCTCTGCTTCTTTTAGGGACAGGGCCTGAACAGGACAGGGTATACTTGTGAGAAAGTTGGGGAGGCTGGGGGGAGGGATGAAGCCCCCCTCGAAGAAGAGGCTGTGGCAGAATGCTGAGTGCAGAGGCTCCCCTGGACGCAGCATGTTCATGTTCCTGTCCGTACATCCCTGCCACTGGAGAGGAGAGGCGGCTCCCACAGAGGCAGGCCTGGGCCCTGGGCCCTGTCACCCTCTGAGCGCCTGCCCTCTGTCCGACATCATCTCACCTCTGTGTCTGCCCTTGCGCCCATCCCTGGGGTATCATCACCTTCCTCTGCCTGTTCAAAATCCTCCCCTTTCCCATGCAGTTTGGGGGCCTTCATGAGCCACATCCATCCTTCTAGGCAACACCCACTGCAGTGCAGAGAAGGAAGCTTAAAAGCCTGAAAATGCTCCATCTCCCTGATGGTGTGGAAGGCGCGTGTCAGCGAGACACCCTCAGCCCCAAGGGTGGCACACTGCTCCATGGGCCAGGCTGTGGAAGCAATGCCTGTCAAATTCACACATGGATATTCTCTCTGCCCAGGCCCATTTCGGGGAGGGCAGCCCAGAGACATGCGTGCACCTGGGTGGAATGACCTCTGCGTGGTGTCACTAACGTCTGTGACATTGCTATAATGGCAACAAAGCTGGAGGCAACCCAGATGTCCATGGGAGGAAGAACAGCCAGCCACAGGAAGACCCAGTCCTGGCAGCTCAGCACGCAGCCCAGGAACAGGAGAACAAAGCTGCAGATACACAGTTGGGAAAGGTCACCGAGATGCTTTGATAATTGAGAAGAGAAATGCTCAGGAGCCGGCGTGGACTTTCCGTCCCCTTTGTATTAAAAGTGCAGTGTTGGGGAGGTAATGCTGTATATTTCTGTTTGCAAGCAATCTTTGGAGAGTGTTGCATAACAAAAGATTTATCAGGTCTTTGTCCTGGGTCCTTGGAGGAAGCTTCTAAACACTGGGGGTTTCCCAAAATGAGGAGTGTCTGCATTATTCCTGGCGGGCCCCTGGGACCACACCGGAGTTTTTTTTTTTTTTTTGAGACGGAGTCTCGCTCTACCGCCCAGGCTGGAGTGCAGTGGCGTGATCTCGGCTCACTGCAAGCTCCGCCTCCCAGGTTTACGCCATTCTCCTGCCTCAGCCTCCTCAGTAGCTGGGACTACAGGTGCCCGCCATGGCGCCCGGCTAATTTTTTATATTTTTAGTAGAGACAGGGTTTCACCGTGGTCTTGATCTCCTGACCTTGTGATCTGCCCGCCTCGGCCTCCCAAAGTGCTGGGATTACAGGCATGAGCCACCGCGCCTGGCCTCCTACCGAATTTCAGGATGGGGGCTGTCTGCTGAAAGACGATTATTAGAGGGTTGAGGCTTTGAGCCAAAGGATGTCAACTCAGCCTCCCAGCAGTCAGAGAAGCGGGCTTCAGTCACATAACCAATCACTCCACGGATCATGTTACACGGTGAAACCCAGTAAAAACTCTGGACGCCAAAGTGCAGTGGAGCCTCCTGGCTGGTGAGCACACTGGGGTGCAGGAGGGTGCTGGGCTGGCTCCACAGGGAGGGCACAGCAGCCCCTGTCTGTGACGTGCCCACACCTTGCCCGCGTGTCTCCTCTTCTGGCTGGTCTTGAATTCCATATTTGATAATGAAACTCTAAGAGGAACAAGAGGCTTTCCTGAGTTCTGTGAGTCATTCTAGTGAATGGCTGAATCTGAGAGGACCATGGGAACCCCCAAACTTGTAGTCAGGTGGTCAGAAGTGTGGGTGGCCTGGAGACCCCTGGACTTGTGGATGGTGTCTGAGAGAGGGCGTCCTGCTGGGGACCTTGCCCTGTGGGGTCTGTGCTATCTCTGGGTCAGAATTGCATGGGCGTGTTACAGGGGAATCAAAGAGAGAGGACAACTGTTCCCTGAGTGGCCTAGTGAAGGGGAGGGGCAAGAGTGGGGGGCTTTTCATTGAAATGGCTTTCTATATTCAAACCATTTTAAAAATCAATGCTCCCCCTTGCTCCCCTCCCTCCCTCCTTCGAGGCCCTGCTTGTTTTGCTCGGCTGGAGACCTGCTGGCTGTTTATGAATCTGCCCTTACTGGACAATAAGGTCTGCAAGGGTGGGGGCCCTGTTTCTCCCTCCTGTGCCCCTCATTACTGGGCACCGCAAGGGAGTATTTGTTAGAATTTTAGGCAAAACTTCATCAAATATAGAAGTGTGGCATTCTCTCGGGTGAGGGCTTCGCTTTGCAAACAGGTGTGGGCAAACCGCCATTCAGACACAGTGGGTAAGAGAATGGAGGGTTCTGGTGAAGGCAGCCCCTCCTGGGCCAGTGGTTCCAGGTCTTTGGCTCCTGCTCCACGTATAATTCCTCTTCTTCGTTGTAGAAATAAGATCCCCGACTGGGTCATCACAGGTTCCTCAGGGAAGTGTGGGGAAGTTTCCCGCTAGACCCCCCAGCCCCACTGCTCCGCTCAGTTTCTCTGCACAGGCCGCCTAGGATAACGGTCAGCTGGCCGAGCAGAGGTCCTGGGAAAGCTTGCTGTACCGGCAAGGGCTCCACAGGCCAGCCCGTCTGTGCTCTGCCCCTGGGGTGCCCCTTATCGTGGTTCTGCTGCGAGTCCAGGGAAGGGAGGGCACTAGCACACGGTGCCTGTCTGCCCTCTTAGCCTGCACTCCTGTTGTTTTGTTTTGTTTTGATACGGAGTCTCACTCTGTCACCCAGGCTGGAATGCAGTGGCATGATCTCCGCTCACTGAAACCTCTGCCTCCTAGATTCAAGTGATTCTCCTGCCTCAGCCTCCTGAGTAGCTGGGATTATAGACACCTGCCACCACACCCACTTAATTTTTGTCTTTTTTTTAGTAGAGACGTGGTTTCACCATGTTGACCAGGCTGGTCTTGAACTCCTGACCTCAGATGATCCGCTGGGCTCGGCCTCCCAAAGTGCTAGGATCACAGGCCTGAGCCACCAAGCCTGCACTCCTGTTTGACCGAGGTCCCCTCTCTTGGAGGGCTGTGTGTGCCTCTGGGAAGCTGGGATTAAATAATCACATGAGAACAGGCCACGTGGTCCTGTGGTTGGTCTCAGATGGGAATGAGGGGCTGCGTGGGGGCCTTGATGGGCCATCCACTCCCCAGATGTATTGCTTCCCCTGGAGCCTCTTTTCTCATATGTCCAATGGGAATAATATCACCACGTCCCAAGGGGCTTTGAACTTACCTTTCTCCTCCTTTGCCTGGCTCTCAGCCCCTCTCACATGGACCCTGCCTCAGCCTCTCCCCAGCCTCCTGGTCCCAGACTCTCTTCCACCCAACTCCTATCATATCACCCTGGCTCAAGAACATCCACTGGCTCCCTGTCACCTGATGCTGGTGCCCAAGGCCCATCCCGGCTCCACTGCACACCTCTCTCGCTGCTTCCACTCACGTGCAGCCTGGCAGCTGTGCAGAACTTCATGCCATCCCCAGACATCCTGCCAATGTCTACGTCCTCTCCACCCAACACTACTATTCCTCCTGTAAGGCCTTCCCTTCCTCCACCTAAGGATGCAGAGTTGTGGGGCAGTTAAGAGCACAGACCTCGGTGTCCAGCAGGTGCACTGCACAGCCCTGTGCAAGGCATTCAATATTTGTGGACCTTAGTTTTCTCACCACTACTTTAGGGATAATTAGAGCATGTGCCTCAGAGTGTTGCAAGAATCAAATATTAAATGCAGAGAGTTTGACAATAAATCTTGGCTATTTTGGCTACTGTAACTCCTCCTGCAATTTGTCTTTTTTTTTTTTGAGGAGTCTCTGCATCTTGGCTCACTGCAACCTCGCCTCCTGGGTTCCAGTTTTTCTCTTGCCTCAGCCTCCCGAGTAGCTGGGATTACAGGTCCCCACCACCATGCCCGGCTAATTTTTTGTAGTTTTAGTAGAGACAGGGCTTCACTATGTTGGCCAGGCTAGTTTTGAACTCCTGACCTCAAGTGATCCACCCACCTCCATCTCCCAAAGTGCTGAGATTACAGGTGTGAGCCACAACAACGTAAGATGTTGCACCAACATCTTATAGCCCTTATCACCCCATGTGACACAATGTGGACGTGGTCATGTGTCCATTCCTTTCACTCCACAGTGAATTCCTCAGGGCGGCATGATATACTGGAACAGCCTAGACTCAGGGTAGCTTTTATAGGGCCAGTGGCTGAGTCTCAACTGCTGCTGGGATGGAAGGATGGCCAGATGTGTGGCTGGTAATTATGTGCTTGGCTTGGTATTTGAGTTGGATACACCGATGGATGATTGGATGACTAGCTGGTTGGTGGATCAGGTGGATGGATGGATAGACACATGGATGGATGGCTGGATATGTGGCTGGACAGCTGAGTTTGTGGACAGATGAAAGGATGTTAAGTGGATGGATGGATGGATGGTCAGATGAGTTGTGGATAGCTGTGTGGATGGAAGGTTGGGTGCATGGATAGTTGGATGGATAGTCAAATGAACTGATGAATGATTGCATGGATGGTGACATGTGTAGATGGACAGCTAGGAATGTGGATGCATGGCCATATATCTGGATGGTTACCTAAATGTGTGGAAAGAAGAATGGATATTCAAGTGAGTGGGTGGATGGTGACAAGTGTGTGGGTGGATGGTGACAAGTGTGTGGAGGGACATTCACATGCATGGATGGATGGGTGGATAGATAGATGAATGGAGAGATAGATAGATGGATGGACGGGTAGGTGAGTGGATGAGTGTATGGATGGATGAACAGGTGGATGGGTGGATGGATGGATGGGCAGGTGGATGGGAGGATGGATGGATGAGCAGGTGGATGGGTGGATGATGGGTGGATGAATAGATAAATGGATGGATGGGTGAATGGATGGACAGATGGATGGATGAATGGGTAGGTGGGTGGATGGGTGGATGGATGGATGGAGGCGTAGGTGGGTGGATGAATGGACAGATAGAGGGATGAATGGAGAGATGGATGGATGGATGGGTAGGTAGGTGGATGGGTGGAAGGATGGATGGATGGGCAAGTGGATGGGTGGACAGATGGGTGAATGAATGGACAGATGGCTGGATGAACAGATAGGTGGGTGAGTGAGTGGGTGGATGGGTGGATGGATGGATGGATGGATGGATGGGTGGATGGATGGATGGACGGAGGGGTGGGTAGGTGGTTGGATCTGTCCATCATGACTGCTGTAGAAGAACAAAGCTGAAATTGCAGTGACCTGGAAAGGCTGCATCTGCCTGAGGTGTGGCCACATGCAGCCCTTGTGCTGGGCCAGAGATGACAGGTGCAGTGGGTGTGAGCAACCCCGCTGCTCCCCAGCCGTGCCATCACCTGTTGCATCCTGTGCTCCAGTTGGAGAAGGCTCTCGTCCCGCTCCTGCTTCAGGCTCTGAATTTCCCCCTTCAGAGCCTCCCTCTCGGCGGCACTTTTTGTCACCAGCTCCTTCTCCTGCTCCAGCTGGCATCTGGCTGCCTCCTTCTCCTCTTCCAGGGACAGGCTCAGGGTCTCCTGGACCAAGGTAAAGGGATGGGCTGTGAGGTCCGGCAGGTGAGGCCAGCAGTTGTCTGTGGTCCTGAGTGAGACCTGGCCCGTGGGATGCCAGGGCTGATGGGCCCCAGGGGCTGTCCAGTCCAGCCAGCTGCACCCCCCCATGTCTTCCCCTCAGAGTCACCAGAGCAGGGAGGGCCTCTCTGGGTCTCAGCACCTGTCATCCCACATTGATCTATCAGTTTGTAAACCATTCCTGAGTCTCTGCAGTGCCCTTGCCATGGAGGGGTGTAAAGACACATCAAACCAGGCCTCCAGAAGCCTGGGACCTGCGGGACGGGGGCCCCTCCAGCCCTCATCCTTCAGACTGCACCAGACCAGCCAACAGCACGTCCAGCGTCTTCCATGAGGGAGCCCCCCCCAAATACCAACCCAAGCCCAGTGTGAGGGCTCCACGAGGAAGGCCCTGGATGCCCACTTGAACTATGAAGCATGAGCAGGTCCTTGCCCAGCCTTCCCTGGCCAGGTGCCTTTGTCTCTGAGCTCAGTCTCCCAGGGCCCCTCCTCCCAAGGGCCTGCCATTCCCTGGGACCTGGTAGCCTTCTAGGAAGCTACTGGTGGGCTCCTGGGAAGCAGACCTTCTCCCTCTGGAGCTGTGCCAGGGCCTCGCGGTGAGCTGACGCCTGGCTCTCCAGGGCCCGCTGTGCCTCCCGCTCCTGCTGTGCCACCTGTCGCTGGAGCCGCCCCACGTCCTGCCGCAGCTTCATCTCCTGGACCTCCCAGTCACTTTGTAGCTGCTCCATTTCCACTGTGGGGTGATGAGTAAGGTGTGCCAGGGCCTGGCATGTGGACCCCCGAACCCTTTGGGACTCCTTAGGGAGTGACAGCCTTGGGGGCGACCACTGTCCACTCCAGGCTCTGGGAGTGGGCGGCCGGCCCATGGCAGGCTGGGCTGAGCAGGGTCAAGGGTACAGGGCTGCAGCTGGAGGCTACACGCTGACCCTGCAGCCACAACCCAGTTCGGAGCCTCAGGCTGGCACCAGGTGTGGCCTGGGCAGGGTGTTGCTGTTCCTCACAGGCGAGGTGGCCCAACTTGCTTCGTCACATGAGCTCCAGGCTCACGTTCGTGCCCCTGTGGGCTCCGGAGAGGGGTGCAGCATGTGTGGGTAGTGAGCTCCACGCCAGGGGCCCCTGCATGGCTCACTTTTGGGGAAGGAGCTGAGGGAGTGCCCTTGGAGCACCTTGCAAGGCTTGCCGAGCGAGTCCTGTGCTCCGCGCCTCCTCCTCCAGCTGCTCCTGCAGCTTCGTGGCCAGCTGTTGGGCCTCGAGGAGGCTGCTCTCCAGGGAGTCCCTCTCCGCCCTGCAAAGGAGCAGCAAACAATGGGCAAGGCATCCGTAAGATCCCGCGTACAACATGCTCTCTATAGCTTTACCCAGGTGTTAATGAGACTCAGCTGAAATGCAAATAAATGGAAGAATGTTGTAGAAATTATGGTGCATCTTGCCTCTGGAGCACCATGTGCTATTAACAAGGACGAGGAAACTATTTTCTATTCTAATGTCATGAAAAGAGTCCCCCCAAAAAGTCACCCACCCAATTGGACCCCCACATGCAGCGTGATTCCATCATGTGAAAAACCTGCGTGGTGCATTTGTGCACGGAGATGCCACCGCTCAGAAGACATCTGGAGCACACACCAACGCACAGCAGTGCCCGTTCCTGGGAGGGACGGGTGATAAAAGACCTCACATTTCTAACAATTAATTAATCAGTGATCCAACCATCAGTGGCAAGTTTCATTGTTGCTCTTTGCTGCCCTGTGCTGGGTGTTTATCAGTGAACAAAGCAAGGCACCAAACAACACATACAAACAACACACACAAACAACACACACAAACAACACGCACAAACAACACGCACAAACAACACGCACAAACACGCACAAACAACACGTACAAACAACAGATACAAACAACACGTACAAACAACACGCACAAACAACACGCACAAACAACACGTACAACAACACGTACAAACAACACGTACAAACAACACGTACAAACAACACGTACAAACAACACATACAACAACACGCACAAACAACACGTACAAACAACATGTACAACAACACGCACAAACAACACGCACAAACAACACGCACAAACAACACGTACAAACAACACGTACAAACAACACGCACAAACAACACGCACAAACAACACTACAAACAACACGTACAAACAACACGCACAAACAACACGCACAAACAACACTACAAACAACACGCACAAACAACACGCACAAACAACACGTACAAACAACACTACAAACAACACGCACAAACAACACGCACAAACAACACGCACAAACAACACGCACAAACACGCACAAACAACACGCACAAACAACACGCACAAACAACACATACAAACACACTGCAAGGGCTCAAGCACAGACGCCCATATGAACACGCAAATGGTGGGTGCACAACCCCAAACAGATGAGATCAGGGCGGGCCATAGGCCACGGGGACCCTGGCAACTCTTGACCAGGCCCTGCCTGCATTTCTCTTCCATCTTTTTGGCCACTGCCACCTCCTTCATTAGGGGTAGAGCACATCCCAGCCTTCTGGGGGCTCACCAGGGCTTGCAGAGGGAGGTCCTCTGGGCTCAGGTCAGAACCCCCAGAAACCTCACTCTGCTGCACGCTGCTCTGCTCCCCGCTGCTCTGCTCCCCTTCCAGTCCCTCCGCCCGCAAGTGCTCCTCATGGCCCCCATCCCACACTCCCAGGCTTGAGTGCTGTCTTCACCTGGCAGCTCTTCTCCCTTCAAGTCAGCCTGGAAACCCCTCCTCCTAGAGGCCTGCCTGGTCTCCTGTAAGGGATGTGGCCTCTGCTGCTCAGAAATCGAACGTCTTTGCCTGAAGCTTGGGGACCTGAGCCTGTGCCCAGCCTCTCTCTCTCCATGGGGGCCCAGGAGCAACTCCAGGGGCTCCACCATTGAGCCCCTGGACTGGAGGCCTGGCCCCCCAAGGGGTGCTCTGAGCAGGGCAGGGCTGCTTGGGGTGTGGGACGGCAGGGACCTTGGTCCATCTTGCTGGCTGACAAGCCAGGACTCCATGAAGGGAGGGAGCAGGTCCCCACTGCAGAAGCCTTGTCAGGGCCTGAGGATCCGAGAGTGGAGCGCTTCATAAAGCAGACCCGTGGGGAGGCCTAACCAGAAGCAAGGAGCTGCAGCAGGATTTCCCACACTTAATGGTCCTCAGTGTTACCTGTGAGTTCATCAAAATGGCAGCATCCACGCTCTCCGGCCGCACTGGGCCAGTCAGATAAACACAGAGTGTGTTGGGCAGACGTGGCTTCAGGTCAAGCCCCTCTGTCACCAGAGGCTCAACTGGCCGTCAGGACCCCTGTTCGGTGGCCTGTGATGCTGGGGCCCGCAGGGCTGCCATGTGCGGGGGTTGGGGGGGTCAGTGGCAGGGCAGAGGTAGGGGCAGCTGTCAGGGCAGGACCCAGGCTGCTGAGGGCTCTGGCCAGGGCCTGTGTTCTGGGCAGCAGATCCTACCAGCAGGGAAAGGACCTCCACCCCGGTCCTGGGAGCCCCCAGGGCCCAGAAAGGAGCATGGGAAGGCGCCGAACCCACAGCAGCCTCCCTCAGGTTTTCCTTCCCAATTGCTGCGAAAGCTTTCATTTGGAGAAGGGGTTTGTCTGCAAAGAAGCTCAAGGATCCCAGACTCCAGTGTTTCTCATGCCTCTCAGATGCTAGAATTCCAGGAAGAAATCTTTTCAACAAAAATACTTAGCAGCGCCTGAGCAGGGCCCTAAGCAGAGCCGAGAAGGCACAGAAGCCATCAGCTGCTGGGTTTCTGCAGAGGCTGCAGGATCCATCCAGATCACCAGGCAGCAGCCTACACACACACACACACAGGGCAGCACCTACACACACACCAGGCGGCACCTACACACACACACACAGGGCAGCACCTACACACACACACCAGGCGGCACCTACACACACACACACAGGGCAGCACCTACACACACACACCAGGCGGTACCTACACACACACACACCAGGCAGCACCTACACACACACACACAGGGCAGCACCTACACACACACACCAGGCGGTACCTACACACACACACACCAGGCGGCACCTACACACACACACACAGGGCAGCACCTACACACACACACACCAGGCAGCACCTACACACACACACACACCAGGCAGCACCTACACACACACACTAGGCAGCACCTACACCTACACACACACACCAGGCAGAACCTACACACACACCAGGCAGCACCTACACACACACACACCAGGCGGTACCTACACACACACACCAGGCGGCACCTACACACACACACTAGGCGGCACCTACACCTACACACACACACCAGGTGGCACCTACACACACACACCAGGCGGCACCTACACACACACACCAGGCGGCACCTACGCACACACACACCAGGCGGTACCTATGCACACACACACCAGGCGGCACCTACACACACACACCAGGCGGCACCTACGCACACACACACCAGGCGGTACCTACACACACACACACCAGGTGGCACCTACACACACACACCAGGCGGCACCTACACACACACACACACCAGGCGGCACCTACACACACACACCAGGCAGCACCTACACACACACACCAGGCGGCACCTACACACACACACCGGGCGGCACCTACACACACACACCGGGCAGCACCTACACACACACACCGGGCGGTACCTACACACACACACACCAGGCGGCACCTACACACACACACAGCAGGTGGCACCTACACACACACACCAGGCGGTACCTACACACACACACCAGGCAGCACCTACACACATACACACACCAGGCAGCACCTACACACACACACACACACACACACCAGGCGGCACCTACACACACACACCAGGCGGCACCTACACACACACACTAGGCAGCACCTACACCTACACACACACACCAGGCGGCACCTACACACACACACACACCAGGCGGCACCTATGCACACACACACCAGGCGGCACCTACACACACACACACCAGGCGGCACCTACACACACACACCAGGCGGCACCTACACACACACACCGGGTGGCACCTACACACACACACACACCAGGCAGCACCTACACACACACAACAGGTGGCACCTACACACACACACACCAGGCGGTACCTACACACACACACCAGGCGGAACCTACACACACACACCAGGCAGCACCTACACACACACACACCAGGCGGCACCTACACACACACACACACCAGGCAGCACCTACACACAACATACCAGGAGGCACCTACACACACACACACACCGGGCGGCACCTACACACATCCTGTTCCTGCCTGTGAGTGCCCGTCCCAACTTCTGGGAGTTGCCCTGAGGGCCTCTGGGCTCACCCGCCCACACTCTCCACCTCATGTGGTCCCTGGGCTGGCCCTGCTCTGGGCTCCAGGGGTGGGTGTGCCACCTAAGCCTGGGACCGGGCCCTGTGACTCCCGGCTCCCAGGATTGGTACAGGGATATCACGCAGCTCAACATGGCCCATGGCCACCACTCTCAGGCCTTGTGGGGAGAAGGGTGCCCTGCGTCTGCTGGAAGGGGGACCCTGGAGTGGCTGTTGGCCATCTTGCCACCTCCCAGAGTGAGCCTGCCTGGAATAAGATCTCAGAGCCAAGCTGTGCTGAGGGAGGGAGAAGCAGGATTCCAAGGGCACGGTAGGAGTGCCTGAATCCAGCCATCCCTTCACCCTGAACTCCACAGCTCCATGAGCAAGACATTCCACATCTGCCTTCCACTGGTCTCAGCTGTGCTTCTGCACTTGCCACCACCTCTTTCAGGAAGGTGACCCCAGTGCTTTCACTGGGTTGACCTCTTCTAGATGCCCTGCCCCAACCCAAAGGCACTGTGCTTGCCTCTCACTCACAGCCCATTTCATGTGCACACACTCCCTCCCAGTCCTATGCCATGGTGTGCGTGTCCCATACGCTGCCACACTGCAGACTCTCTGAGGGTAAGGATGTGTGGGACATGCCTTGACTGGCAGGCCCTTGCATACCTGAGATCAGCTGCCTCTTCAGCTACAAGCCGGCCCTGCCTCTCCAAGGCCTCCTGCTTGGCCAGCAGCTGGGCCCGCTCCTCAGACAGAGCATCCTTGTCTTGCAGGGCCTGCTGCAGAGTGTCCATCTGGGCCTCCTGGTCCTGCAGGCTCTGAGCCAGCTGCTCCTCCAGGGCCTGTTTCTGGCATGTGACCTAGAGGAGGTGGGAAGTGGACAGTCGGCAGAGAAAGAGAGTAAGTGGGTGGGTGAGCATGGGCCTCTTGAGGGGAAGAAAGGACTTCAGAAGAAGTGATTTCACGCAGAATGGCATGGAGGTGAGAGGGGAAGAAGTGGGTGGACCTCAGAAGCATGTGGATGTCTTTACAATAGAGGGTACCCCGATGGGGATGGTACTGAACTGGGCACTTCTAGGTAGGAGCCAACTGTCAATCTAAATGGTACCATTTGTTTGTCCTCCAGTATCCAGGGGTCAGGAAACACTGCACAGAAATGGCAACAGAAGGTAACGGAAAACTAGACTGCTGCAGACCAACGCTTCCACCAAGAATATCATAAAAATCTAGGTAGATATATCACAAGAATATGTAAGAGACCTCAGACAGCTGAAAAGACAGCTGGGACTGAAGCAGTGAAGATCTTGGAGAGAAGGGAGACACAGAGAAATGAGCCCAGCATTTGGTGCCTCCTTTTCCCTTAAGGCATTTGCTGATTTAAAAGTTTGGGCTGAAAAATTGAGATGCCAAGAAGAGCTTCTGGCAGTACCATGGCCTGAGGGGAACAAAAAATAGGGTTCAGAGCCACCAAAGCGGAGAGGCTCTGATACGTATCACAAGACATCAGGTTGTATTCACCACAGGGCTTGATCCTAGTAGTAGTGGTGAATCAGAAACAGACCATCCTTCATAGACACTGCAGCTCAGGTGTGAATTATCCCAGTCACTGATTGGATTACAGGGACCTTCTACCTTCACTGCCTGCCAGGGTCAAAAGTAAATTCTGGCCGAGTGCGGCGACTCCCAGCACTTTGGGAGGCCAAGGCAGGTAGATCACTTGAGGTCAGGAGTTCACGACCAGCCTGGCAACATGGTAAAACCCTATCTCTACTAAAAATACAAAAATTAGCCGGGCATGATGGCATGCACCTGTAATCTCACCTATTCAGGAGGCTGAGGCAGGAGAATCACATGAACCCAGGAGGCAGAGGTTATGGTGAGCCAAGATCATGCCCCTGCACTCCAGCCTGGGTGACAGAGTGAGACACTCTCTCAAAAACAAACAAACAACAACAACAACAAAAATAAACCCTTTCTGGAAGAAGAATAGCATTGTCAAGATCCTCAAATTATTTCTGTAATTTATTATATATAAGATTGACTATTTAATCAAGATCTGGCCTATCAGGAGACAGGACCACATGACAAAAATCCACAAATAAGAACAGAAAATAGATATAGATCCTCCCACCCTGGTTATCTAGATATTGGAGTTATCAGACACAAACTTTAAAATAGTTGATTAATATGTTCAAGAAGATGGATAGCAAGATGTAAAGTTTAACAATAGAACTGGATACTAAATATAAAAAATACAGTTTAAAATATAATAACCAAAAAAGTAAGGAAACTAATAGACAATGGCAGATTAGAATAAAAGAAAGGACTAGTAACCTGGAAGACAGACAAAAGAATGTGTTCAGACTGAATCATAAAGAGAAAGAAGGATGGAAAATACACAAAACAGTGTTATAGACATATGGGACAAGCTAAAAATGCCCATCATATGTGTAATTACAGTCTCAGAAGGAGATGAGAGGGCATATTTTAACAGATACAGGCCAAGAATTTTCCAAATCTAGTAAAATACATCTAGCCACAGACTTAAAATGAGCTGTAACTCCCAAAAGAATAAATTGAAAGAAAATGTCAGAGATATACAACTTAGTAAAGTTTCTGAATACCAAAGATAAAGAATTTTTTTTTTTAAAAAGGGAAAATGACACATAGCCATGAACAAGACTGACATTTACTTTCCATGCAACAATGAAAACCAGAAGACAATGGAATGACTTCATTACATTTCTGAAAGAAAATAATGGCTGTTTTAGTATTCTATACCCAGTGAAAACATTCTTCAAAAGTAAAAACCAGGACTTTCTACTTCTGATAATGGCGAGGTAGGTTGTTGAGGACTAACCCTCCCACCTAAAGCAACTGGAAAAGTGACACAACATACAACCCAATAATCTGTTTAAAAGCATTAGAGAGATACTAAGGCAGTCAGGTCCCTGGTGTTCAGGCTACAGAGAGAAATATATTAAAGTGAGTCTGAAATTCTACGAATACAACAGGTTTCCCCTTTGGGGTATCTGCCAAGTCCTAAGTGACACGGGGTGTAGAGCCTCAGGATCCAATAATAAAGCTTTAGGCCGGGCTTGGTGGCTTATGCCTGTAATCCCAGCGCTTAGGGGCTTATGCCTGTAATCCCAGCGCTTAGGGAGGCTGAGGTGGGCAGATCACTTGAGCTCGGGAGTTTGAGACCAGCCTGGCCAACATGGCGAAACCCCATCTCTACTAAAAATACAAAAATTAGCTAGGCGTGTGCCTGTAATCCTAGCTACTCAGGAGGCTGAGGCAGGAGAATTGCTTGAACCTGGGAGGCGGAGGTTGCAGTGAGCCGAGATCGCCCCATTGCATTCCACCCTGGGTGACAGAGTAAGACTCTGCTTGGGGAAAAAAATAAAATAAAAAAGTTTTAGCTAAAAGACTGGGAACATGGCCTAAGATTTCAGCAGGCTTATGAGATTGAAGCGACATAACTTAGAGTTCAGAGATACCAAAGCAGCCGGGGAATGAAAAGAAGGGCACATATCAGAAGGAAAGGAAATGCCTGGAGGGAAACCTGAGATTCTATATTGTGATTTTAAAAAATGGGACTGCTGGCTGAGCGCATGATCCCAGCATTTTGGGAGGCTGAGGCAGGTGGATCACTTGAACCCAGGAGTTTGAGACCAGCCTGGGCAACATGGCAAAACCCCATTTCTACAAAAAACACAAAAATTAGCCAGGCATGGTCACGTGTGCCTGTAGTCCCAGCTACTCGGGAGGCTGATGTGTGAGGATCGCTTGAGCCCAGAAGGTTGAGGCTGTGGTCAGCCATGATCAGGCCACGGCACTCCAGCCTGGGCAACAAAGACCCTGTCTCATAAAATAAAATAAATGGTACTGCTTTGAAAAAGTATGTATTTTTTTTTTATATAATTCAGAAGCAGTAAAGAACCAGGAGACTAAGAATCTGAACAAAAAAATAGCAGTTGAGAGTCTGGGAAGTCAGATAGGACTTTTGAAAGTCTTATAGAGTTGAGAAAATAAAACCTGGAGTTTAGGGCTAACTAAAGAGTAGAAACCCTGGTAAACACCTGAGATTTCCAATTAGGAACATAGGAGAGTTATACCCTGGGGTAAGCCAGAAATAGACGACTCCTCAGAAAACACTGAAGTACAGTTACAAAGCGGCTAAATCCTCGACTGGATAAAGACGATTTATCCCTATTCTGATTTCCTGAAGTCAAAAGCAAATTCCCTCTGGAAGAAGCTTGTATCATTCAAAGCCTTAAATTATGTCTATGAATTACATCTACAAAAACACAAAGTCTGTCATTCAACAAAAAATTATTAAGCATAATAAAAAAAACAAAAAAAAATTAAGCATCCTAGGAGACAAGGCCAAACTACTGAAAATAAATAAACAAAAGAGAATAGAAATAGCTCATTAGGGGATCTAGATGTTAGAGTTATCAAAGACACAAAAAAGTACTGTAATTAATATGTTTAAAAACACACTCAAGAAGGTAAAGAATGTTACCAAATAACTGAAATGTTTGTGAAAAGATGAGTGTGTGTGTGAATGATTAAAAATAATCATTTAAAAATAAAAAATATTAGTAAAGTAGTGTAAGGTTTATAACAACATATACAGAAATAAAACAGAGCAACAAGAGCCAAAAGGATAGAAGAGATGTCTTAGTAAATTGGTGCTGCTATAACAAAATACCTGAGACTGGGTAATTTATAATGAGTGGAAATGTATTCATTTATCTTCTCACAGTTCTAGTGACTGGGAAGTCCAAAATCAAGGTGCTGGCAGGTTCAATTGTCTATCAAGGACTACTCTTGCTTCCAAGGCTGTGCATTGATGCTGCATTTTCCGGATGAGAAGACTGCTGCATCTTCACATGGTGGAAGGTATAAGGGGAAGTGAGACACAAATGTTGCAGGAAGCCCCTTTCATAAAGGCTTTAATCTCACTGATGAGGGTGGAACCCTTATGGCCTAAATCATCTCTTACAGGTCCCACCTCTTGATACTGTCACAATTAGTCATTACGTTTCAACACCTACATTTTGGAGGGGACACATTCGAAACATAGCAAGGTATAAACGGAATATATTGCTGGAAGGATCTTACATTGTTTATGAAGTAATATAGTATTTGGATATAGGCTGTGCATATCATAATTTTAGGGTAATCACTAAAACTAACAAAAAGAAACACAGCTAAAAACAATCAATAGAGAACATAAAATGGAATACTAAATAAATATGCATCTAACCCCAAAAAAGGCCAGAAAGGAAGAATGTAAAAATATTTTTAAAATATGAGACAAATAGATGGCAAATACTTAGATGTAAATAAAGCATATTAATAGTTACTTAAATGTAAGTGGTCTAATAAACACTCTAATTAAAGATAGAAGTTGTCAGAGTAAATATAAAGGCAAAACCCAAGTATGCTTTTGACACACACTTTATTTGTTGATTTTTTTATTTTTTTATTTCAATAGGTTTTTGGGTAACAGGTGGTGTTTGGTTACATGAATAAGTTCTTTAGCGGTGGTTTCTGAGATTTTGGTGCACCCATCATCTGAGCAGTGTATACTGTACACAATGTGTAGTCTTATCCCTCACCACCCCCAACCCTTTCCCCCAAGTCCCCAAAATCCAATGTATCATTCTTATGTTTTTGCATCCTCAGAGCTTAGGTTCCACATATGAATGAGAACATATGATATTTGGTTTTTCATTTCTGAGTTACTTCACTTAGAATAATAGTCTCCAATTCCATCCAGGTTGCTGTGAGTGCCATTATTTTATTCCTTTTAATGGCTGTGTAGTATTCCATGGAGTGTGTGTATATA